TGTTGGGTAGCATGACATCGTGTTAGGTAATTAGAATATATGAATATGAATATTATTAGTATGGATTATATTATTATATATTGATTTGAATATTTAAATCCACTCAAGGGCTGCCCTCTGCCGCAGACAATCACTGCAAGCCGCGCGACGGGAAATTTCTGTCGTTGAAAGCGGCAAAAAAGGCCGTGCAACGTGCACTCTTGATTGCCGGTAATGCCACGGATTTGTGCATATAAATGCATTCACCCACCAGCATGCACAAAGAAGGTAGCATACAAAGAGACGCAATCTCGCCCATCGAAAACTAACCACCTGAAACAACGCCTCGCACTGATACTCCAGCGGCGACATCCTCACCAACACAACCCCAGCCGCTGCCAACCACGCTCCCAACCCCAATTCGTCCCTTCCCCATCCAAGCCCCAAGAGCTCTTGGCTCGAGTCGCTGGTGAGAATGGAGGCGACTCGCCAAACACGTCCCTGAGTCAGAGACGCCCACAGAGCTACAACGATTGCCATCAACGAGCTGCGATCTCCGCGATCGCAACAGAAGTTCGTGACAGTGGATGTCGCAAAGCCAGGGAGGTCACCAGGGAGCTTCGCAGCAGCTCAACCTGGGCGACGTCGCATCAGCTCCAGCTGCGACATCCTCGTCAACACAACCTATGCCGCTGCCATCCGCTCCCAAACCCAACTCACCCACTCGCCTTCCAAGCCCCAAGAGTCGCTGGTCAAGACTGAAGCGACTCGTCAAACACAGCCGGAATTCTGAAGTCCGTTGGCCCCGAGTTTGTCGGGCTCAGGCACACCGGCCACCTGTTATGCTTGCCCACGTCGCCCTCGCTCCTCGCCGAGTCCACTGTCAACCTGCCAACACCCTTTTGGGCCGCCTGCGACACACAGGGCACGAGTGAATTGAACGGCCATCGAAAGCTGCCCATCTTCACGCAGAACGTTCGCACACTCAGCAACAACCGCGTTGCAACATCGCTGGCCAGCGATGCTCAGACGAGGCGATTGCAGTTCCTTTGCGGCAATGTGTGAACCGTCCATGGGCGGTTCGCGCTGCGCCCCCCCCTACCGGCTGTGCGTTGGCCAAGTCCATGGACTTCGCCCTCCTGGGGCCCCTGCCTCTGCGAATTCTGTTCCTCTTCTTCTGTGGCACCGCCTGCGGCATGCTGCTCATAACCCGGGTAACCTCCTCGCTGTAATACAGCATGTTGGTGGCCTCGACAGCGTAATGGCCCGGGGCAAGTTTCCTAAGAGTGGCGGTGTGGGTGAAGGCCCGTCTTCGCCCGTCCCACTGCAATAGACGACACACACGCGCACATGCTTTTGGTACCTTTGGTGCTTTCCTGCAGCGGGGTATTTGCCACAGGTAAAGAGCAATGGGCCGCGGGGCAATGGAGCGCCAACTGGGACTCGGATCTCGGAGCGTTGGATATTCTCAGAAGCTGGGGATTGTGGCGGCCCACCCGGTGCGTAACGGACCACAATGGCGGGAGAACTTACCCACTGCATGATGCCCGCGGTCACCACGAGCAGCTTGTCGTCCCGTAGCCAGTGGCTGAACGTCGACGTTAAATGGACGCCAGCCACTTGGCTGAAGCACCTCCGCAGTACTCCATCCAGGTCCTGCGTGCAAGACGCCACCCCTCGATTCAGGCGAAGCGGGCGGATGCATCCGGCAATTCAGCAGTCGCATATGCAAACGTGGGATTGTGGCTCCAAAACAGCACGCCCAGGGCCGGTGAGGCAGTCCACGGCCCCATGAATCCATCCATGGTCTAATAGCCGACGGAGAACTCACCTGGTTGGCCCTGCCGTTCACCGACAAGCCGCTCGGGATATCGGTAAACGCAGCCCACGAGCCCTCCACGCCGTCGTAAAATGTGCAAAGCAGATGGGCTGCATAGAGCACCGCCCTGAAGTACTCGACAGCGAAACGATTGGCAACCTGCGGCGGGAGGAACTCTCTCAACGGCGGGGTTGGCCAACCGTTCGAGGGATGGGCGCGGATTGCGTCCACGGGCGGTTGCAATTCAACTCAACGCCTTCCACAGGTTGCCGCCGAGCACCAACTCACCGCTTCCTTCGTCGGCGCGTTGCCCGTGGCGCCCTGCCCTCCTGCCATCCTGGAAGCCGTCTCGTTTGGCGTTTCCTTGCCAAGTCCTGGCCAACTTCAACTGCAACCCCCGTGTCCGCCTAGAAATGGGGCGAGCTGCTTCGGAGTGACCGAGGCTGTGCCTCGCATCCTACGTGGGGAGCGGTTAGAGCATCTTCATCAGATTGCCAATCTGCGAGGGGTGCAACTTGCTCAGCGGCGGTTGGCCGACCCCTTCAAGGTTTGAAGGGGTTGGCCAGCCGCCGATAAGCAATCGCGCCCGCCGCAGATTGCCAATCGCTTGCCGCTTGAAGTTCAAGCAAACCCAAGCCGTGGGGTGGGCGAAAATTGCGACTCCAGGCTGTTGCAATGTGTCGCAACGACTCCACAGGTTGCTGCCGCTCATCAACTCGCCGCTTCCTTCGCTAGCGTGTTGTTGGTGAAGTGGTCGGCGGTCCATCCGCCTTGCTCTCCTGCCATCTTGGAAGCCATCCCGCTTTACGTTTTCAGCTGCCCCTCGCACAGCCCTGCTAGAAATGGGATGGCCGGCTTCAGCACGAACGAAGCTGTGCCTCGCATCCCATGTGGTGCCTGATTTCGAGCACATGGTGTGGATGATTGCGGCCAGGCGCAATCCACTGGCAGACGTCTGTGCTGACGTGCCAAACCATGGCAATCCAGGGTGTGATAGGCAAGGTGTAGAGGCCCGTATTTGGAACATAGAGAGGGCGGACGTGCTTATGAAACACGGCAAACAAGGCTACCCGCAGCAAATAGGGAAGCAAAAAATTCACACGACCTGCTGTTCAAACACAAAGATCCCAATGCCATTTGCGGGGCTGCAAGATCTATGGATTTCATCCAACATCGAAAATGGAGGTGCCTACCCATCCAAACATGAGGGTCAACTTTGCCAATCTCAGTAAATTCAATCACCAGCCTGAGGCAAAAATAATGCCTCAGCTGCATTGTTCGAATTACCAGTAATTGACCACTGATGTGCCTGATTCAATTACTTATTTGTAATCACATGATAAATGGTGGCATATGAGAATCCCGTTTCGAGGACTGCCATCAACAGTATCCCTGAATGGCTGCCGTCTTTTCCCGATGTTTCACATGCAACTTTCCAGTTCTCATGACTGGAGGTCGGTGGATGAACACTAGTGTGCAGTGAAACTCCGTGAGATTAAAGAGCTAGTTAAAGAGATGAAAGTCTGACACAGCAAGACAGCCGTAGCTGCCATGTTGTGCAAGCAGCTGGTCATGTGCTGGCTGACTGATGCACTCGTCGACCTGATTGAGATGGCGGGAGGACGGTTGCCCAAAGATTAGCTTCAGTTTACTAATTTTGGTGATCGTCAGTTGGTATTGTGGGTTGGAGCTGTGGGTCGGTGCCGTAGGTCGATGCTGTGGGTCGGTGCTGTGGGGTAGCGTGTTGTGCGTTTGTGACTTGTGAGCTCAGTCCGCCATTCTGAGTGTGAGTTCAGGTGGGCGAAAATAGGAGGCGTAACCTGGTATTTAAAGAGAGACCCAGACTTGTTCGTGGCTTTTCTTGGTTTCGTTGTAAGACAAGTTGAGCCTTGGCTGCTTGTCCGACCATGCACGGTGGGTGCGTTTGAGCACCGCGTGCATCAAGGTTGCCTCAGAGGTCGAACTAGAAAAAGGTTTGACTTGTGCTGCGTTGTGGCCCGTTGCTGCACGCATTCGATTGCGACGATTGTGACGGGCGTGATCTCGAACTGGGATGGCCAAGCAACTTTGACATGCATAAAATTGAATGCACGTAGAACACTTGGGGAAACAGGCTAGAGCCTTATGTGTTTTCCCGTTCTGTAACGCCCAATGCTCAATGGCACATGACTTGCGCCAGAGAAATCGCTCAAGCAGCTTGAACCAAGCCTCTCCAACGTGTGGGAGCCAACGGGCATGAACTCGTGGACGTCAGGATTTCAAGAATTTCAAAAACGAGCCCAAGAACTTCGCGATTCTAGAATTTTCCAACTCGTCGTCCCTCAAAACTGGAGCGACACGGGGCCGAGGGAGGGGGCGAAGGGATGTGTGATGGAAGCCAAGGTGATTGAATTGGCAGGTATACTGGGTTGTCATCGCTGAATTCTAGATGCCTGGTCGCCCAGGCTGGGCTGCTGCAAAGGTCCCTGGTGGCCGCTCCCGACTTACTTTTGTGTGACTTCCATCGCCACCATTTCCCCCGTGTTACCCAGGTCGACCATCGTCGAGCGCATGGCCTGCAGCTCCCCGGGCGGCTTGGGTGATCTTCGGAATTGGCAGCAGCATGGCATGGATTACGAGGGATCTGCCGTGATACATGGCGGCATTGAGGGGTGTGCGAGCCTGGATGGTGGTTGTTCGTTACAGTGGATCTCACAACAGAAGTCATGCGACCAGCTGATGCAAGGACGCATCGTATGTTGTCCGTGGCCAACACGGACGCTAGAGGCTTTGACACTTGGACGTGGACAGCATGAGTTGTGTTTGTGCGTGTGCCAGTGACATGACATTCATCCGTGGGATTCACTGCAATGAGTAGACTGCTGTGAGCACATGTTGCCACTTCGAGCGTTGGTTGGCAATGGCGGGACTGCAAAAACTGTACCAAAACTGTACTAAGGTGGAGGCTTGCGATAAATTTGGCAACGTTGGCAGCCGAATTTCATTGCGGCGAAGTGTTGTCTCTGTTGATGGTGAAGGAGAAAAGAAACGCCCACGAGGGCTGTCCAATGCCATGGACCGAGCACGTGATAATAACATGGTGCCACGGTCAGAGGACAGGATCAACAGCCAGGTTTATGGACAATAGGACACGGAGAAAAGGCACCTGGGCTTCCAATTTACAACATTCGTGCTGTACATGAATTCGATTGTTTGCGCAGTGTCAGGACTGCAGCAGAAGGGGCACGGCGCCCATCGCCAGGGCGGGCAGCCTCGGGGCCTCAATGACGAGGTACTCTCTCAAGCTGCTCCAAGACGCCTCCAGGTCGCGCACCTGGAACCCGCACACCTCTCGCAGCCCCTGAGAATGCAGGTCCTTCACCAACTGCTGCAAGGAGGGCTCCAGCTCCTGCCACAGCGCCAGCAACGTGCGAGACGTGAAAATGCGCCAATGTGTTACATCGCTGTACGGTGTATCGCATCGTTAAAGGACGGGCCACCCAGTCGTTACCCAATGCGTTACATCGCTACACGACGGCCCTGCAACTCGGCAGCGGATTCGCTTTTGTGTGTTGCTCGAGGCAGGATGCGCTGATCGTGGTTCAGACGCTTTGGGGTGATTGAGCAACGGTTTGTGCACTGATAGAACTGGCAGAAATAGGGTTTCTGCAGCTGTCTTGCACAAGCCCCTCCCCAAAAACTTACAAGAAAGCTGCGAAACTCTTGTGAGTACGGCGCTATGGGCTAGGGCACACAAACTACCATCTGGTAGTTTGCGTGTATTTACTCGGTTGGCTGGTGGGCCAATCGCCTACCTTGCAAATTTACAATCAACGCGCATGTGCGCATCAGCAAAGCAGCCTACTGGGGCACAACAACAGCCATGACGTGTTCCAAACACACCATATAGCACCATCTGAACTGCACATAACTGCCACGCGAATTGAGGCAATTTCCACATGTTGTGCGACAAGCTAATCTCATGGGGTTCTTTGGCAGGTGACCACATTTCAAACATTTGCAGCCACAAACAAAACAAAACAAATGAATTATACCATGCATCAAAACGTGCAGCACCTCCTGGCCCGTGACCACGAACGCGTGCACACTGTGCGCTTCTGAAGACCAGCGAGTGAAAGAGATGCTACAGCGCGTGTCATTTCTCTTTATCCTTCAATGACCAATGAACACAATGTCCACACAATGAATGTAATGCCCAAGCGGCGTTCTTTTGTAAACCCACAACGCGAAAATGATCCTCACCCTCAGCATTGCCCTCGCCAGGTCCTGTGGGCTGGCTTCCTCGCCCGAGGCTTCCTGCCCAGAGCCCGCCCTCCCTGGGAGCCCGGGCTGCAACTGCAGTGAGTAGTTCTCCTTGTCTCCCCCGCCCCTCCACTTCTGGGCGTACCAACTCTCCAGGCTCATGAAGCCTACCTGCACCGTCCGCAGCAGCGTGGCCACGTCCTGCTCCGCCCGGCTCTGCTTGGCATCCAGGCGGATGGCCACCTCCTCCTGCCTCACATACTGGGGGTGCGTGGAGCTGGTCTCCCGCTCACCCAGGCTCTGCGCCAACAGAGAGAGTTCGCCATTGTATTGGGATCCCGCTTATACAAAGGTTTAGACATTACAAGTCATGCCCCATGGTATGTGTGTTTGTGCCACTTTCTCTCGGCCGCTGAAGGCAACCAATGCACAACAATTGTGCAACAGAGGGCCGGACGTCTAAGAGCAACGAATTTGTTTGACTATTCATAGCACCTAACCATGCAGGCAAATTTTGTTGGCCCATTACTGGCCACAGGGAAACGAATCACCAGGCAGAAGCCAATCCGATGGTATTTAGTCGTCCAAAGGGCAGTGGTAACAGAAGAGGCTGCGAAGATGGTGAAGACTGAGACTGTTTGCCAAGTGCAGCAGCCCATCCTCCTGCCGCAGATGTGCAAACATACAGTTCACTGTCCTTGCCCTGCAGCGCCACGTCAGATGAGTGGCGTGTCGCCACAGGGCTGTTGATAGTGCGGACGAGTCTTGAACAGGCGCCACATTGGCTGACAGGAGATTCTTTCCATTTTGGTGGGAATCATGGCCAGCGCTTGGTGGTGGTCTTGTAGCATTCTGTACATACTGCTTGGGGATGATCGCAAATGAGAAGAGCAGAATGCCTGTACTATTGGGGCAGTCCAGGAACAGCGATTCGAGAAAACACTTGCCACTGAGGGCACAAGCCAATACAAGAACAGGGTAAATGCACTATGAATTCGCCACTGCAAAAGCTTTCCCAGTTATCATCAAACTCAAACGAGGCGCACAGTTGGCTGTGAGTACAATATCACTCAACAAACAATCCACCCATGCACAAAATTTCCACACAATTTGAAATCAACACAGAAGATTGAAACAATGAAGCCACTCACCAACAAACCCCTCTTCACCCAGGTCTGGTCCCTGCTGGCCTCCGGGACTTGAAGCAGTTCCCATGCATCCCCACGGCTTTCAGCAAGGCCCTGACTATCCCTTAGTGACTGATACGTACACTCCTCGAGTAGGACTGGGCTTGACGTCGAAACGCAACGCTCCTCTGAAGCCAAGGAAAACGTCAGGATAGATAATATTCAACTATAAGCTTTACATTTCAAAACGACGCACACATTGCGTACCAACCTTTATGTGTGCCATTAAAACATGCGCAGATGGTGACGCTCAACACCACTGCAGCAGGTTCAATTCTAACGTGAGGAAATGGGCCAGCGTAGACCTCTGCACAAACCAACACTTCCCACATGCATCAAGCAATGACTCCGAACAGTTAAGATTGGGCAACCCTAAAATTGGATATCAGTAACGACGGAAATCCCCTAAAGCAGCGATGAAAGCGTCTGGCTGCCAGATCCAGTCACCAGGATCAACACACTCTGCTTGATGCCTCACATGCCTGGACAGGCTGTACAGGGGATTGCTTCCATTAGGCAAAGTACATTTTGCATGATATTAGTGTCAGCACAACTCTCAAAGAAGCTTTGATCTAATATGAAAACTTCAATGTCAATAGGTCGCAAGTGTGGTCCTGGGCAGCAGGAGGCACTTCCCCAACCCTTCATAGGATTGCAACAACCTCTTTTCCAAGCATGTCATCAGTCCACACATCAGCAACAGGAACAGCTGCAAGCTGTCAAGCTGCCTAGTGATCAGGGCGCTGGCTTGGCTTGGGAGTTGCAGGCAAGTGCTTCTGTGGAGGAGTTGTTCGAGGTGGGCGGATGCAGTGTTGGAGCGCAGATGCCTGCCTTTGGCGACGTGCACAAGCAGAACAGATTTCCACCAGTGCGTAAATATCTGCTTCTATCCCCATAAACATCGTGTCACATACTGCAAATGGTGTCGAGGTGGTCTGGAATGCTGTGTCCTGTTTGTAAAAGCAACCAATTTGAAGGGCTAGTATGTTATGCTTCAAAATGTTACTCATTCAGATGACATTGATCTGGAGTAGAAAAGTAGCGAACTTGGAAGACGGTGGGGAGGTGGGGCCAGCACTCACCTGCACTCTGAGGGCCCAGCAGGCGATTGAAGTACAGGGCAAGCACATGCTTTAGCCCCCACCTGCCAGTGCCATGCAGCAGGTCTGCCTGCAGCCTGTGTGAAAGCCAAAACCATACCCTAGTTACAAACCAGCCAGCCAGAGACGTCCTCCCAGCAGATTAAACAGGTACATCCTTGAGCAATAACTGTCACCTTCGCGTTTTCAACAATAGGGAAGATGGCACAGTGGTTTCAATGTGCACGCGTGCAGGCATGCAACACAGAGAGCAATTCCATCTGACAATGACCAGGCAGCAAGCATAGTCTGGCAATGGTGACTTTCTTCTAGTGGTTCTGGATACTGCTTCTCCATGACAACAAAAGCCAAAGCTTGTGTGCAGATTCTGTTCCAAAGGGCATGTGCATTGACCCACCTTTCGATGGCTTGGTGCAGCAGTGCCTGGGTTTCCGGCTCGAGTGTCCCCACTCCGACCTGGGTGAGCAGGTGCACGATGAGGCTCGCCAGCTTCACGCAGTCATGGCCAGGTGGGAACATCCCCTCCCCTGCATGAGCAGAAAACAATGGCCTCCTGTCAGAAATTGCAAGGAACATGTACAGAAGAATGGAAAGCAGCAGATAGATTCAGGGAGGCCAGACTGCATCAATCAGGGGATGGGAGTCACACAATGATGAAAAATTGGGTTGAATGTATGCCACAGCCACCTCTTCAAAACGATGCATGAGCTATGCTGCATTCTGTTAGCCCTGAAAGTAAATTATGTGCCAACATCGACTGCCACATGAACTCTTTTGGTGCTTCCAAAAGGGCACAACGCAGGAAATCTATCTTTACAGGGCACTTACGTTTTACTATGGGCATTCGCCACAACTCGACGCACACAATTTCCAGTGCCTGAATTCTTGCCTGGAGGCGCAGGAACATTTTTTCCAAACAATGGAAAGGCAGAGTGCAATAAAGGCAGTGAAGGTGGATTGCCACCAAGTCTGTTTTTCGCAAGGTTGGTGCCACAGCATGTTACAACAGAGTACAATAGTACAATAGTGCAATAGATATGGCAGAACTGTATGCAGTATTGTTCAAAGTACATTTGCTGGGAAACATTCAGCTGAGAACCAACAGTTGTGTACCATGACAGCCTCTGCATCTACAGACGAATGACCTGTTGTTCTTCCCCACAGATTTGGGGCAGTTGACAAATTTGAGGGCCCAGAAATGCCTGCATACTATATTGCACTGTTGATACACTACTGAGCCAAGCACCCAAGACCTAGCTTGACTTTAGGGCGCTCCAAGCGATACAATCATATAACGCAAATTCATGTCACAATACAACCATGCTACATGTATACTACAGCTGTTGTACACACTCGTTAGAACACCATTTACTTGGGGCATCGTACGTGCATAGATGCACACACAATCAATTCAACGCTATCCAGTCTTGCACTGCTCTACCTTGTGAGCCCGCGAGCAGGATGACTGTCGCCAGGTGCTGCCTGTGCTTGTCCACCAGCCTCTTCACATCCCGCCTAGCATTCCTGCTACCCGGCACACCCAGCAAGATGCCCAAGACAACTCGAAATAGAACCACCAGGATGGGCTGCAGCCGGATGAAGCACTCCATCTGAACGGCATCCCAGGGCACCCAGTTGTTGGGTAGGCCCTCCAGCAGCGGGGAGTTTGTCAGGTTCTGGATCACGCCCACGGAGTAGATCATCTGGGCTGATTTGGCCTGCCTGCCAGGCCCGCCTGTGAGCAGAGAGTTGAGACATGCGCCCTCAGCAACGTGCTGGGCAGATTTGCTGTCCAGTGTTGACAGTAATCTGTGTTGGGGCCGGCTGACTGCAACTTTGGGCAGTAGTAACTAGCTGTGTAAGAGTGCTTGCAATGTTGGAGAATGTTGCTGCAGTGCGCTCACTTGATGGGGAGGTGCTTCCTTGCTGGTGGTTGGGAGCGATGAGGACATATCTGGCAAGACCTATTGTGAAGTTGAAAGCATAAACCTCACCATAGGCACTGTGTACATTGTTGGATACAGGAGGTCTGTCAATGCCAAGATATGCTGCCAAAACTATGGGGGAATCTTGAAGACAACTGTGCAAGGTACGGCTCGGCGACTTTGGGCACATACCAGGAGACCATTGCTCATCAACCTGGCAAGGCGTGGAAACACAATACACCTGTCTGCGCCAGTCCTGTACTGTACCTGCCATCAATATTCTCAAGATGAGACCCAGCTGTGCCTTCAGGAGGAGCGCCTGACTGATGTCTCCGGCCTTGGCAAAATCATAATCTCGGCCACCCAGACCGTCAGCAATATCTCTCAGAATGCCCGTCTTGCTTGCAATGACCTGTGCAACTGCACTGCTGCTGTCTATTGTCACGAATGCAGCAAGGACCTCAAGAGACAGGATCCGAAGCGCCTGCACACAGCAACAGGTCATTGAGGCACTTGATACCCAGTTGGAACATTTGTGGTGAAAGAATCAATACGGCTCATAATCATGGAATACAGGCACCTTTGTGCAGGACGGTGGCATAACACCAAAATGCTTTCACAGCATGTATTGAACAGTAATAGCAAACTTGTTGTCGACAGCTCGGATCTGTCTTCATTTCAGCCTTTCACTTGTTTTCTGATGGACAGCGCTGGCCCTCCCTTGGGGTTCAGAATACAGGGCTACAAGCACAATCGTTTTACCCGTGACAAGCTACAGTCAGTGCTGATGCTCCACGTGCTGACCTCCATGTACATTTATTCCACATTGCACACCATATGCCTGCACACCATGCTAGCCGACAAGCAATAAAACACCATCAACCTGTTGGGCATCGTATTGCGTTGCATTTTCTCGCGTGTGGCGCAAGGTCCAGATCTTTCCGGTTTTGACAGCAGAGACGACGGGCGTCCCACCTGTGGTAAGACAGTGGGGAATTAAGAAACAACAGGAACGCACCCGCTCCCTCTTCAGTGCCACAACGTCACTGGCCAAGGACTCCACCAGCTTGTGTGCCTGCGACTGTACAAACCCAACAATGCGCAGCTGCAGCTCAGAGCCCAACTCAGTTCTTTCCGTGCTCCAGTTGTCCGGGTTGTTGAGCAGCGCGAGGAACCACAGGAGGGCGCAGACGAGGGGCATGCGGACCTGCTCACGTGCCGCATTGGGATCCAGAATGTGGCGAACCAACAACTGGAACAGATCGGGTCCGCAGTGCGAGAGCATGAGGCCTGCGGCGTTGGCACACATCACAGAGTATCAACAGGAGAGCAGCGCCCTGGGCTGGGGAGAGGGCACAAGCACAGTGTTGTTGGTTCTACCCAATATGCGAAGCGCATATGCTGGCAGGTTGCCGCACATCCCAGTGCTGCATGCCTCACAATACATTCTTTGTTCCTGCCTCAATAATGTTTGTCGGCAATCTACAGCTGGTGGAGTGCTGAGGGGCTAAACAGAACTATGCACTCTGCGATTCACCAGATATGAGGGCGACAGGTGACTGTTGTGTTGCAACCCAGTGGAAATGAGAAATCCAAATGCAGGTGGACACCACAAGTAGGAACAGTTCTCTTGAACCTTTAGAACAGTGAAGGGAACAAAAGTTGGCATGAACATGCCTCTTGCCACAGTCGTCCACACCAAGATATTCAAACAGCCAGGTATCGAGATATGCAGCAACACCGCCACTGTTCGTGTGCTGCCCAAAATTGGTGGTGTGTGGATCACTGATTGAAAGTTGAACAACGCAAGATCTCTTACTCCTTCCTTAACAGCACGCAAGATGAAAGAGCTCTTTGCTGCCATGCGCTGTGGATGAAATGCATTCAATAGATTCACAACATTCTCACCTGCTGCTGCAGCTCCAAGTCTATCAGCCTGCTTGCACAGATGACTCATCAATGACTGCACGATCTGGCAGAGTGGTTCAGCATGGCTTGTGTGGACAACAGCAAGGCTCTGCACACAAAAGTGCACCCACTGTCACTGCAGGCAAACAAAGAGATTGCCAACAGAACTTCAGAACCTCCAACGCATTTGCTTTCACACACCGGCCTCAAACAAGCTTCATGTCGATCCTACACTTACTGAGAGGCAAACACAGTGGCCCTGGCAAACAAACGAGGAAGATGCAGTGCCGCACAGGTTGCCAATGGCAACCTATATGGCAACTTGCCATATGTTGCACTGATGGACCCACTGCCCACCAACTCACCAGCAAGCTGTGGTGGATGATCTCCATCGTGGTCAGCATGGTGGATCCATACTGCCGCAAATCTACTCCCTCACATGCCTCCACCACACTGGGGAAATGGCGACCAAAGCATGCCTCCACAAAGTACTGAGTGCTGCACAGCATGTCCATCATCTCAGCCCCCTGCCGGAGCGCATCATTTTCAGCCATGATAAATCTGTTCATTCCCTCCATCGCCTCTCTACCCGCTGCAATTTTGGCTGTGTCATCATCCCAGTCCGGCAGATGCGAAGAAAACCTGCAAAATAACCAGTTGCCAAATAGTCAGCCGCGCACACAGCAGAGCACTGCAATAGGCTCCAGAGCAGAGCCACTCCTGAAGGTGCGCATCACAGGCTTTTTAACTCATTTCCATGTTCCTTTTCCATTCCATCCAATTTTTTGGTTTCAAATGGACAATGCTTGTGTGCGTTGATGGAGAAGATTCCGAGTTTGGGGCAATGGAAATTCTCCAGGGCGGGGCAGATAGAATAAGTGTTTCTTCACAGCAACATGAAAATGACACATTGTTCATGGTGATGTCCCTGTTGAGCGTAGATAATCACAGCATCAGTTTGTCTGATGGCCGTCAAGGCCTTAGCATGGAATAGAGACAGCAGGCTACTCAGCAGTGGAGTTCAATGCCGTCCAATTAACAGCAAAGACAAAACAGCAAAGACAACATACAGCCATCACAACCTGCCAACACAGCACCCTCTGCCGACAATGCAGACAACCTGTTCTTGGAGCTCACCAGCTTAGCAGCAGGCTCTTCACCTTCGGCTCATCAAACAGGAGCTTGCCATTGTGTGACACACTCCTCGCCCCGACCTGCCGCCCCTGTTCCCTATCAGTCAATGAGTGCACCACACGGGGATACATGTCCAGCAGTGCCTTTGCCCTGTCTGTCAAGTACTCTCCTAGCTGGGGTGAAGGGATTCGGAAGAGGTCCGTGTCCGCCAGCACCTGCACAATGCGGGGCTCCACCTCTGCAGGCACAAGCAAACATGATTCACAAAAGAACATAAAGTGGCCATCATCAACTCTTCCGCTTTTCGGCATGGTACCCTTCTGCTTTTTGCTCTGTATTTTCCTTTTCAGAGCGCTATCTGTTTTCTTTTAATGTTGCCGAGCAAAAATTTGTTTACTGTTGCTCCACAAAAAAAGGTTAGGACTACATTACTATGCACAAGGGTTCTATACAATATGGTGATTGCATTCGCAATCAACGTCAACAGCACATAGTCCAGTCAACAGCATCCATTCCCAATCAACTTCAACACTGCTTGGCCACAACTTCCACTTCATGTCCTTGGTACAGAGAGATCCTCAACCAACTCTCTCTCAGGTAGCGTAGTGCACAATCCATTCCAAGTTTCCATTTCTGTTGAAAGGACTCTTCCCACCCACTTGCATAACAGCACCAATCCCACTGACTGCAATTCTTCCACTGGAATGCACAGCACATAACAGTCGGTACAATGTGGTCCCCTTGGTCGGTGTGCAGTCATTAAACAATGGGGCCAAAAAATGTGCTGCTAAATGAATCTCTGCAACTGCCTTCTGCTTTGCTCTGTGCAGCAGAATACAATCAAACAATTGACACTGTGTGGCCTCACCTTGTGGGATTAGGCTGTATTTCGAAGCTCAGGATATTTGCCAGCATGTGACAGAGACAATAAAATTGTCTCTGTACGAACTGTACCATGGGATCTCATAAACCACTACCTGCTGAGCACCACACTCCCTAGAATCACCGTAGCAGTGTGGGAGTGTACTGTTATCACAAGGGCTGTGCTACTATTGACACAAGGGTTGCCCATGAGGTTGCCCTTTGGTGTCCAAACAGGCGCAATGGACAAGTTCTTCACAAGCTGGTAAAAAGTGGTGCTGCCTTGCCTGCTTCGGAGCTGGATGCATCGCAAAACATCGCATGGATGAGCACCTTTGCACTCTCATTCTCTTCAGGCACTGTTGGATCCACACAAAGAAGCTCTGCAGTCTGCAGCAAAAGGTAAAGTCCTGGTTCAACTTCAGTTGTTCTCACATTCAAAACATTGTCCAATAATCTTGGGTACTGGAAGACATCAGTTATGATCCATTGTTGCACAGTTATGGTGTTGATACCAAGGGCAACCCCATGTTGAGTATAAGTAGGCATGTGTGACTGGAACAGAAAGGTATCCAGATCCCCCAGCATGCAAGCCACATGGCCTGTAGCAATCGAATGCATGCAGTCACACGTTTGCAAGACCAGTAATTGCTTCATAATGCTATGGGCTTCATCTATCAACAGCATGTCACAAATCCCAGGTTGTCCATACTGCAGCCAATAAACAAACACCGATGCAGTGTCCATGAAGTGCTTCATACATTGCCCATGAGCACTGTTTCACAACCTGCTCAATTGCAGCCAAGAGATGCTGTTTTGCATACGTAACATTCTGTACTTGAATACATCGTGCTGCCTTCCACAGCTGAAAACTGCCTGAGGGATTCAGGTCATCTTCTTTTGGGAACTGCACTGATATCACTACTGTATTTGGATGCTGTTGCTTTCAATTTTGTTTGGATTTTCTTTCTGCAGCTGATTGCCCTGCCGACATGCTTATACCGCTGTACCGTGAGCAACAAAAGAATTGGATGATGCAGTAAACATCATCGCCTTCTGTGAGCAAGCACTGTGATTATGATGTCCTCTCAATGCAAGCAATCCATGGAATACATCCAGATATATCCATAAAAGCAGGAAGCAGGAAAAGTCAGGCATAAACTCCACTCACTCAGCTTGTTTGCACAGCAACTCGTCACCAGCTGATTTGTCACAGTTTGATAATGTTATCAGAGCGGCTGTAAAAGCAGTTCAAGTTCTGGAACACACAGAAGGGGAGCCATCCAATGCCAGACGATTTACCACAAATCCATGAGTGCGGTCATAACAGATTCACACAGAAGGCCAATCTGGGGCACACACCAGAATCTTCATGGTGAATGTTCTTGTTGCCAGCTGGGTCAGTGGGTCCAAGCTGTCGCAAAAGAGGAGTTGGTCCAGCTGCTCCATAAGCAGGCTGTCTCTCAGCGCCTTGAGGGTAGTTAGCACTGTGGAGGATGCAGTGCACAGCATCTGCATCACTTCAAGGCACAGTTTGAAAAGTCCAGGCTTCGAGGTAGCCAGCCTGCACCCCCCACAAGCCAAGCTGCTTATAGCTGCAATGACACAAAATGGCGCCCCTTTGTTTTGAGGAATACATGGGAGATGTCTCCACCGGCAACCATTGTGTTGGGCGTCAATGAACGATGGAAAAGTGGGTTGGCAGGTTCTGGCTCACACAATGGAGTGCACATGCTTGAGATAGGTTCTGTGGTGGTATCCTTACCTGCCTTGCCCTGGCACTTGGGGGATGTGTGGACTAAACTAACAGCACTTCCCTGATAGGGTTATTCAATGCTGGACATAGGACATCGAATGGGTGTGACTGGCTGCACGTGAACTTTCAACAATTAACGAGTACCATTTGAAGGGAGCTGCAGCTGCTGCAGCCATGAAGAAAACCAGGGTTGCAATGCAGCTTTGCACACACACACACACAGAGACACAAACAGAGAACAACAGTATCTCGTTGAGCTATTCTAGCGAAATCGAGTCAAGACATTCGAACCATGTGCTTCAGGGCACTGAAGCCCTATCAAGCAACAGGCTATTTCAGGCTTTATAGCAATAGAGTATGTAATGTATGGTATACAAAGGAATCTTGAAATAAGGTGGTGCAAAGCACGTATTGGTGCAATGTAAGGTCATATACCTGTTGGACAGGCCACAATAATAACTGATGCTGGAATACAATATGCATTCCTTCCCAACTTTGACTCACTCTATATCCCTGATGGCATCCAGTATGACTCCAAAGCACGACGTCCCTCCGTCCATCGCCAGAACGTTGGGGCCCATGGCCCTTGCCGCCCTTGTCACATCGTAACCCAGAAGGAGGTGTGCCACGTTAGGTCCAGAGGACTTCAGGCACTGCCACAGCATCCTTATCACGATCAATGCCCTGCAGTCGCCTCGGCCCATCCCTGCATCAATAAAATCTTGTCAATTAGACAAACTATCAACATTGACTATCATCTCATTTGCATACAATTGAAAGTGAAAATGTCTTTTAACCAGTCAACAGATACCGTCAATTGCCTCTTAGGTGAGTGGTTTCGCTTGTCAAGACTTTGACAGCTGCGGTCAGCTTAAACAAGCACACATGGGATGCAGCCCCACAGTGCTGAAAAACCAAAGCACCCAAGCATGACGATACAATGACAGCAAATAATCGTATACACAAACACAAAAACAACAGCAACAGCTACTGCAACAGCTACAACAACAACAACAAATGCCCTTGCCAGGCCTGAGCGTGCTGAGCAGCTGTAAACCCTTGGCCAGTGTTTTCAATCTCAAATACCCTGCAGTACTTTGGAATCCAATCAAAGTTTACCAATGTGCCTGTCAAGACTCACCGCTTCCTTCGTTATCGTCAACAGCATCCGGCATGGACAAGCCGCTGTTAAGGGCAACTGCGACAGCCTGTCTCAGCGAACCCCTCACAGAGACGCCTCCAAAGAGGTCCACCATGCGCGGATTGCGCCGCACAAGGCTGTCCAGCAGCCCCAGGGCTTCCATCTGCAGTTCTGTCGATTCCCCAGATCGAATGTACTCTGCAAGGATGGCAAACGTGCGCCTGTGCAATCACAGGGCCGAAATGGAACATCAGTGCTGTGGATAGAGCAAAAGGAAACCACAACAGATACCACACAATAAAATCATTATATTTTTGGGCCCCTGGTTCCATTGGTCTTGTCTTACATATGTAAAACCAGCCACTTTCGCAAGGTATGTCAAACCAAGGTCAGCTAAGCTGAGCTCAATGCAACACGTGAAACTGACAAAAAGACACCATGAGCTGTGCCCAATCTCAGATATTCAAAGCCGCCAAATCCACTGCCAGGAACACCACCACACAGCACTTCACTGCAAACATCTTCAACTTCCCTGGTAGCACCAGCAAACAGCGACACTTGCAGAGACAAGTGCAGCAACAGAACAGGTGGCACCCCACACCCAAAATGTCCCTCCCACCGATTGCCAAGCTGGAGCCTTTCGCTCACACGCTTCCCGCCACTCAACACTCCACTCATCTCTCTACAGCTACTGCTGCCACCATTGTGCAAAAGCGGAAAGGCAGCAATCTACCAAACTCTGTCAAAATCGTGAGTGCATGCAAAAGCAAAAATGGGCCTAAAATATAGACCCCCAACAAAACAAACATACAAACATCCTGAGGACACACACACACACACACACACACCTGTCGCTTTGCACAAGGACCTTGTCAACAGTGTCTGTGCCCCTCACGTTGGCATGCTCCACGTACTCTCTGTCTTTGGCCATCACGGCTGCCAGCAGGCGGAAGGCAGACAGCAGGGCACACTGCAGCTGCAGGCCAAGTCGCGGGCCCTCCTCCACCCCGAAAGACAGCACATGGCCAACGGCCCTCAAGATCACACCACCCCCTAGAGCAAGCAAGCACATACCATGAAATATTCAACCCTTTATCATAGTAACGTAACACTTGGCCTTTTCCCGCAGAAAAAAAGTCGGTAAATCTTTTGCAGAGCAACACAACAAAAATAACGCTCTGAATAGAGAAATGTAGAGCAAATAGCATAACGGTGCAATTTTTTGATGCAGAAGGGTTGAATATACTATGGTACCACCTTGGAGCACCTGCTGTGATGTTCCTGTTGCTTGCAACCCTGTGGGTTGCACCCGTTGAAAGCCATGACGAGCAAAGCCCCTTCACCTTGCAGGGGATGATGGGCGTGCCAGAAACGCTTGTTCAATCTTTCCTGATCCAGGTAGCCCTGCCTTGCTGTGTAACTTATGAATGATCTTCAAAAGAGGGGGCGTCTCATAAAATAATTCCTTGTTGCTGAACAACAACATTCCTTGTTGCGTAACATGTGTTCCATCTCGTAACAAAAACAGAAGATAACCTCAGGCACGATTAGCCTCCTGAGCGGATGCACTTAGGTGACAACAGCGCAGCATGAACTGCGGAGAACTGCAGAACTACTGATGTACAAGGCAACAAACACATCAACACAAGAATGCCGAATCTCTTTCCACAAGCAGTTGGGCAGAGGGCACTTGACGGGAAGCTGCTCATGTGTGCTTGTACCTCGGAAACACATTTGTCTTCATATTGGCCGGAAACAAAAAGCCATCACAAATCGCATTATACTGGCGGTATGTCGTTGTGTTCACAAAGCTGCCAGATACCCGCAGCAACTTGGCATTCACCATTACTCTCCATTACTATCTTTTGCTGCATTAATGGCCCATTCCGTTCAGGTCAACTGAGCAGTGCGCACTTCAAGCACATTAGAACGCTCCAATGCCCATCTCACCAACGCCCCCAACACACAACATGGACAGATCCATGAGCTCTTGAAATATGCTGAACAAAGGAACTGCGCAGGCAGCCATGAGTGGCATGGGTTGCAATCACCTAGGATGTCTTGCATCACGATGAAACCAGGAGGCATCGCCGAGTGTGGATCCGGAGGTTTTGAAAAATCGGCCTCCTCGAATACTAGCCGCATCAGGTCAAAAGCAGCCTCAGCAACCTCCCATTTCTGCTTGGTGGACCTGGATGATCGACAAAATGTGACATATTAAATTGCCCACCAATGTGTTGAACTTGCCCTAAAAGGGTGACATGCTCAAAAGCATGCAAAACGCAAACAAACCACACCAATCTGCCGTTTCGCAACTGGTAGTGCTTGACACCCTGACAGCTTTGGACACTTGATACGGGACCTTTGTGTCTGCAAGGTGTCAATCATTGCGCACCAGGACATGACTGCAGTGCACACTCACAAAAACCGTGCACCATACAATTAGACACTACCCAGCGGCCTTGCCTTGCGGAACTGCAAGGCACACCGCATACAGATGCACATACGCAACTCTTTGCTGCTCACTTCTTGCTGACCTCAATTGTCACAACACGGAAAGACAATGTGCTGACTGATGGAGAGCCTCACTTGAATCGCAAGTTCCACAGCCGCCCAAGGACAGCATCCCTCACGAACTTTGTGAGCCCTGCCACACCCGCGGCCTGGTGCTGCACCGGCCGGCTGCTCTTGAGGACACAGTTCAGGAGGCGGATGAAGCTCACAGTCTGGGGGAACTCGCCTGCACCAGCTTCAATCTGGTTGACCTGATACAGCAAGTCATACCTGCACCATACATTGCCAATTCCAAGTTTTCTTTTGGAGTTGAACAGGGGGTTGTCAAGTATTGTGTCAAGCATCGTGTGAGGTCCTCATGCATCGTTAGAAACACCAGTGCTGGCTTGCGATCTGGTTACGGTACTCATACATACCATCACCTGTGTGCCACTTTTCGCACTGCGCGCAGTTGACACATTCGATCATTATATTCCAAATTCTTGGTCCACATTCAAAAACTAAGTGGAGCCACACCTCATAGTATAATAGAAGAATGAGAGAAAATGGTAGACAAAAGACAATAGACAAAAGATACAAAAAGGATAGAACAAATAACATAAGAGATGAGGCCAAGTCGCCACCATACCAGACAGAACATTGTCCCTTGCTGCATGCTGCTTTTAGGATGGGCCAACCAGTGATGACAAGCAGTAACACAATACACTGAGTCACTTGGTGCTTGCATCAAATTCAATGTGTCCAAACCTTCCAGATGGGAGAATGAGCGAGTTCATGGCTTCACTCTGGCTTAGAAAGCACAATCTATCGATTTGTTACGTTCAGCATCAGAATGACAGTAAAGCAGTGTGAGGGGTGTAAGGGATCCAAACCTGTAACGCTGCAACTAACGCAATTGCCACAACATCGATTCAAGCACGGAAGAGCCCAAGCCGCATCAACAAGTCAGGGAATATAAGGGAACATCCCTGATGTGTCAAAACTTCACAGAGGGCCCCAAACTGTCAATTGACAGCCTCTAGGGCTGCCCCGATCGGTGATAACTTTGCACAAATGCCATTCTTTCACCCTTCAGAATCACTACAGCAGTATCTATTTACCTTCCTTGAAGGCGAATTGGTGCTGGGTTGTGCTATTGAATAATGTTGCTGAGTCATCCTGACAAGATACAGCATTGGGAAGGGGGGGGATGGGATGTCTGAGCCTAAAGTTTATTTGATGCTAAGCATACCAAAATCGATAAAGTGCATTACATTCCTTGCACCAACCTCGCCTATATAGTGAAATGGGCACTTGTGAACCACCAAAGCTTCAACAATCTGTTGCGACAACTCTGCAAGAGTCACTTGGCAAACACAAAAGAGCCACCAGCTGAAAATAGACCATTTACAGAGCCTACCAAGTGCACAGTTCTGTAGACATGGGCTCACTTTGGGGCTTGTGCAGAATCGGCACTTAGCGGTTGGTCAATCGTCACCATCGTGTTTGCTTGCAGAAACTGCAGAATCGCTGCAGCTCTGTTTGGATCGTTTGCCAGAGCAGCCAGAAGCCCATTGATTGCCGCCTGTAAACAACATCATCAAAAACAGCAATGAACAATTCAATCCAGCAATCCCTGCGCGCAGTTCTGTGCTTCATCTGCACAGCTCTGAAGGCATAGCTGAAGGCCTGTGCCTTGGATAGCTGTACTGCCAGTGTTCCCCTTCTATGCATGTCTGCCCATTCCAATCCTTTGAATCTGTTCGAGACCACAGCAATGTGCCACTCACCACAGCACAGTCAGGAGAACCAGTGTTCAGGGCAATGACATGCACTGTTCACCTGACCTGCAAAGCAGTGTGCTGTGCAGGTTCGGTGAACAGGGCACATCATCAACTGTGGATGCAACAGTGGTACTTCTGAGCATGATGACAGATTCTACAAGGGTGGGCTCCCAGTGCCACATGCCCAGGACACAAAGATTTGAGGCTAGAATGCAAGGGCAGTTTCAGAGCTACACACGCTCGACCGTGTGTAGCCACTCTGGTCCCAGGGAACACATCTGCCTGCCCTTTGGTTTGCTCATTATTATCGATTTTCATGTTCCCATGCAGGTTTTGCACAACTTCTTACAGCAAGAATTGGAGCCTCACTCTGCACTTCATGCGCACAAGCAGAGGCTTGGTGAGAGAAAGTACTCTTATGTTATTAAGGCAATCGTCTATGCCCTCTAAATACACCCTCCAGCTTCGTTGCAGCCTGAAAATCTTGCTGCCACAAGTGTGGTGCACAATTCATGACGCGCCTTTTCAGGACGTTTCAGGATTTCCTTGGGCTATCAGCCTTCAGCAGACTTAGAAGCAGCTGCAGCATATTCACATAGCCACTTCCCAAGGTGAACTTTGGTCATCCATCCACATCAATATCTCCACTGCCAGACCAGTGAGCCCGTGTGACTTTCGATTAAGGTTGTTGCTACAAGTCTTTAATCCCAATACAGACCTGACCTTGTTGAGCAACACAGCAAGTTCTGAAATTGTGGCAGGCATCCCAGCAGCCTCAAACACCATTGCTCAATGGAACCTTGCCAGCTATGCCAACCGAGATCGAGGGCAGGAGTCCTCCTAGAGAATATGAAGAAGGTGCAACAAAAGGAGAAGACATAGGAAACGCATCCATTGAACCTACGAATCTAATTGAACTGGGAAATGCATCCCATTGAGATAGGCACAAATAGCGAAATCGGAATGGTGAAATCCCCGACACTCCGGGACCCAAAGCATGATGCCCAGACACTTGACATTGCAGTTTTCTGTCACGATGGGGTAAACATAGTCCAAAAGGAACTCGACGTCACATTTTTCTGTAAGAATGATAGACCGCTCTGCCGATTCCTTAAGCTATTGAGATTTTGGATGATTCTGTGACGAGCCGTGGAACAACACCGTGGGAGAGCCACAGCCCTTCCGCTGGGGAGCTCACCGGCTTTCCCACCTCAATGACCTCACCAATGGTAGTACAACCAAAAGATGATTGCCGAGGGCATGACCAAAGATGACCATCAAAGGCACAGACACATCGACAGCACATCGTTGACCCATGCAAAGCATGTGGCATAGTGCGTTGTCATCAGATGTGCAGAGTTGGATAGTGGCATCAATCTCTTGGCTGTACTACCAATGGCAAGGTTGAAAGAGGGAGGACAGGGGCGAGCAGCAGCAGGACAACGACTCGCCCACGGCCAATAGTCTTCGGCAGGTCGCGAAACCCATTAAAAGCCTCAAGGGCTTCAGAATGGTAGCCTGACAAATTTTGTTGGCTTGCATTGATGTGCCAGATGCATGTGTCCTCACCAAAGTGCCAATCTATGGTGCTCAATTTGCCATCGCAATGATACCGCAGCAGTCCAAGGAGTTTGGTACTGATAGTGTGGATGTACAGTGCACACAACTAAATGTGTGTGTCCCAATGTTGCAGAGGTTCTGGAGGTTCGTCTTGTGAGCTCACTGCAAACCTTCACGTGTTTCATACTATCTTGATGTCACTGCCTGGGGGTGGTGACAGCCAAAAAAAAATACTGTAGTGCAGCCCACACTTCATTCAACAACTCAAATTAGAGTATAACATAAAACATCACATATTCCACATGCAGTATACAAAACAGTGCTTCCTTGGTCTCAGAACACTTGCCAGGCGATGTACGCATGAGCAGATCGATGAAACACAACAAACTACTGGTAAATCATTCCCACCTTCATGGTGTGTGACACATCCACACACAGCAGAGCGAGCAGCCTGCTGTGCAGCTTGGCATTGCTGCCACATTCCTGAAGATGGCCCTCGAGCTGTTCTATCCATCCTGGCACCTCCTTGGGAGAGCCCTGGGACAGCACCATCCTGCAGCAAAACCAGCCAAGCCATCAACAGCAAGAAGCCATCGGCATTTGCAACGATTTCTGAACAAGCAAGTCAAGGCTTTCCCTGAGACCTGAATTCCTGCATTTGAGAATACTTCACAAACTGTCATACGATCAAATGCCGGTGGTCTTGCATGGCCTTGAACATCTCTGGCACACCTTCTGTTAGAACGGTGTGGTACATCGACTCTTAACTGGTATCATGATATTTTGAAAACAGAAACATCAACGAAGCAACATCATGTGCACATATGGAGGTTACATTGGCCTGCATATTGCAACAACACATGTGCACTTGTCAGGCAACTCAGTTGCCACCCTGAACCATCGCTCTGGCAGATGTTCAGCTTGCCCCACAACTGTTGTGGTAAATGCGCCTTAAGGACATACATATGCGACAGGCTGGGAGTCCAAATCCATCAACAACAACACAATCCAAATGTGTCTGCAATTCCCTGACAAGCAGACAATTTCTTATGATTGCTCAAGATCCATGGCTTCCCCAACTGCCAATACACCATATTGTTGAGTTTGATACAGTGATGAGCCAATATGCATCATTTTGCATAACTTCGTATTGTTGCATGCAGAATCCGAGGATCAACAGACCTGCAACTGCACCAAGAAACACGCCAAATACTCATGCACATATGCTCTATATGCAGCACTTCATCAGCCAAGTTTTTCCAAGACAGCTGTTCACAAAACAGCACAAACAGTTGCAAATTTGTCCAGTGCTTCGCTTGCCAACTCGCCTCAAGAATTCCATGTAGGCTGTGATTCCTTTCATGTCATCTGGTCCTGGGGTGCCGCCCTTTGCGATGGACTCTGAGAACTCCTTGAGTGACCACATGATGTATTTGAACTGCAGGAACTTGTACCCTGCCTCCATGTCGTGCAGCCCAGCCGCATTCCCGCACTCAAACTGTTGGTACATGGCTCGGGCACCCAGCTCGCTGGTTGCAACAGCAGTGAATACGCCAATGAAGGCAACAAAGACCTGGCAGACAAGGCAGCTTTTGAAGGCGATAAACAAACATGGCTCCAACTACAGATTCATGTTCCAGCCAGACACCTCACAGCGTTCAACAAGAGTGAGCGCTGATGGAAGTTGAGCTGAATAGAGTGTTCTTTGCCACCATAGCCAGCTAGTGGTGGCATGCATTCTTCGCTGATTCAAGATCACAAACCCTGATTCTGCTTGCGGATGAGAATCCATGATCCCCAATCGACTGTGGACTCCCTGGGGGAGCTCCTGCAGGCATTGCATGAGCACTCTGCAAAACAAAGGCAACAAAGGTCGCCTCACAGCTTTGCCAATTCTCAACAATTCCCTGTCCTTGCTAGCACAGACGCCAGGGCTCTCACCTCAGGGGATCTTGCCAGCAGGTCGCAAGTTGGCACCCAGCCCACAAACCTTGAGACTGCCGGCTCGTCGCTCCAGGCCAAGGGGGGCTTCAGCGCAAAGACAGATGCAATGCAGTCAAGCAGTGTCCCCATGCGATCGCCGCGCGTGGTCACGGTGCCATGCCTCCTGATGGAGACGAGATATAGCTCACGGCTTCTGGCGACCATAGGATGGCGGCCCTTAACGAATTCCCTGGTGGTTGCACATTTTGAATCTTTGAGAACAAGCACACGCAGAGGGGGACAGCACCAATCATCGTTTTGTGGCTGCAAGGGCAGTGGTTTGCAATTTGATGACATATAACCATGGTAGTTTCCATGCATACAGGGGAAATGCCGCATGAGGGGTGGCAACATACACAAAGGGAACATGAAAGAAATGAGCAATGGAAGGCATGCATTGGCCTGCCTTGCGATCAGTATCCCCATTATTAGCATTTTGCCTGTAAATGGGCTGGCGCACTGTATGGCGAATGCCCACATTGCTTTCCACCACCCTATGGGCGCCTTTGTGCAGTCTGTCGATGGCTACTACAGCGATCAGATCCTTTGGATTAGTTGATTGACAAATTGACTCTAACGATTGACTGCTTCACATCTGAATAATGGCAGCTATTGATCACTCAGTCGAATGAACAGAGCCTGGGGAGGAATGTGCTCACCTGTGGCATTTCTCCAAATATAGGTGCATGAGCATGAAGATCTTATCAGCACAGATCTCCCTCAGGTCTGGCTGCAAGTCCTCAAGGCACTCATCAGAGAGGGTGGCGTTGAGGAAGCCAAACACACCGGCCTCGCAGGCCCCATCCACAAGTTGCTGGAAGGTCACCTCGTTGGGCGTGAGGTAGGTGGCACACAGCAGGCCCCATGCCAGCCTCACCACAGCCACCAGGGGCTCATCGTGGGTGGGGTCACCTGGACAAGGGGCCCCCACAAGCTGACTGACTATTTGGGTTCAAATAATGTACTGGGCAAACGAGCTAAGAATTCTGTGGGTGAAGCATGAACCAATGGTACGTTTATGGTGCTTTGAGAAGGATTCGTGCTGTGACTAGTGCGTTTTTTGACATTGCCTCTTGCTGTCATTCAGATGACAGGGAGTGACGCCATTGAGAAAGCGCCTGTCTCCATGCATTCATGAATTCATTTAATTTTTGCTTATCTATTTATGCATTCATTTTACCTTTTTCTTTGTTTGTTCATTCTCCAGCTTGCAATCAATGGTACTCTCATTCCTGGGGTCACCACAGTGCGTAGAACTCTGAACAGTACCATTCGTTATGGAAAGCAACACTCTTGACGTGCAGCAATGCCCATCAGCACCTTCAACCCGCAAGGTCAGTGGTGCACCATCCGATGGTGATGGCAAATGTGACCACAATACTAACAACTTGCAGGAAGTGATGGGCACAGACCCACACATCACATGTTTCTTGAAATCTTAGTCTGGCCCCATCATCAGTGCATTGATCGCTTTTTGGACATGACCAAAATGCCAGAAAAACGATTGAGGATGAAAAAAGGAAATGAAATTGAAATGAAATAAAGCCAAAAACAGATGCGACTAGATGGAAGAAAAGGAGATATGCAAAGACAGAATACAAGGGACACCCACCCTCCAATACGGACTGGACTTCAGCATTCCTTGTCAGCTGGTGGAGGGACTCCTCATCCCTCTGGGGCCCCTCCTGGCTGTCGGTGTCTGGCATGAGTGTTGTCAGCATCGAGAAGAGCACCAGAGCTCCTCCCTGGAGATGTGCAGGCTCACAGTGTCCTGCGCAAATGGGTCAAATCGGAAGACGACACAAGTACCTTAACATGAGCATTTTATCAGTAGCAGTATTGGCACTGTGTTTGTCGCTGAACCTCACCGGGCATTGCCCAAATTGGGATTCCTCTTGGTTTTCTGAGCTTGCATTCTCAACAACGACTCTGACAAAAAAATTCTGCTCCTGACGCATTTGGTATCTGTCGTTTTGAAGGGCAGAACACCGATGAACGTAAGGGGAACGAACAAAAGTCTTTGACGTGGAACTGACCATCGTCCTGTTCCATGCACACGGGCATTCATTCTATTGCCTTGTCAAGGGGAAATAACCAAGTGCTCTGCTTCAGCGCAGCAGATGATCCACTCCAGTTGCATCGACTATACGCTGCAGCTGCAAAGACAACCACAAAGCATGCAGTACCAAGCACGTTTTACGGTACCCACCTGCAGTCATCCCCACTGTCATCTGCAGTTGAAAGTACCTCAGCAGGTCCATCAGCTCGATGACCGCCTGTGGAGTTATGCTTGGCCGCACGCGCACAGCCAGAAGTAAGATCTCGCAGAGGAGCCTTCGTTCCGCGATCAGGCACGCACTGAACCTCTGCTCCTGCCCAAGGAAGTCTCGCACCATGCTTCGTCCGCTCTGGCTGCTGTCCTGTACAAGGCAGCAATGGCAGGCCTCTGATTGTGGGATGCCTGCTGGAACCTCCCATCAATTATTGCCTGATAGTCAAAAGAAGTGATGCATATGTGTGCCTTTGCACAGCCAAACGACAAATGCCCTTTGTGCCCCTGGCAAGGACGATAGGCTGATATCGATGTGATGTCCCCCAGCTAAGGATGGGTGCAGCTTGGACTAGGTTAGCGTGGGCCAACCTCGGCACCCATGGGTAAGGAAGACGCTGGATGTGGAAAGACAATGCACACCTTGGCTCACTACCATCTTAAGGGAAAACGTTTGGCAATCCATGCTTGCACCCCAAGCTGCACTGGCGTTCAAAATTCAAGGTGAAATTCTGGAAGGTTAACTGACAAGTAGCCACGCAGAATGTGCTGGTAGGCAGGAACACCGTTCGGTTGTTCACAACAGCCCACCTCTTGATCTCGCCTGCTCTGAATCGAGGATGAAGCATCCTGGACATGCAAGGGCAGCAAAATGTAAGGAGACTTAAAAGGCAGCAAGCACCCCACCAATCAGCACCGATGTTCATAATAGCCTCGCTGCTTCAAAGGGCCAGGTTTGATTAAAATAAATGGCTTGCAGCAAAGACTGATCGCAGATGGCGACAATAGGGTATGCCACACCAACAACAGTAAAGTTGGCAAGATCTGCTGGCTCCTTGAATACGCATTGATTGCTTGCGTTGAAGTTGACAAGACACTCTGCATCTTGCACCATTCATGCGATCTGGGCTGCTGTTCATACCACAAGCCTTGGTTTCTTTGACTATTCATTCTGCTCACCACTGACCAGTGACTGAACATTGCAGTATGCTTCTTGCCCTGTTTTCAAAGACTTGTGCATCACCTTTCAAAGCATGGCACAGAATCCCACCATTCTTTCATTCATGATGGTGGTGCCATTTGTATGACATGCTTCTTGTTCTTGTTCCAATGTATCTTCTCAACATTCAGTGGCCAATTGAAACAACGTAGACTACAGTGTATTGCTGTTGGTTGACAAGCAAAGCGGCAAATGGGTCCGGTGACACTGTCATGTGCCTCGCTTTTGTCCATTGTCAACACAACAATTGGTGGCTTGAATGCCAGGGGCCACCAGGTGGGCATGGGCGCACCTGAATGAGAGCCACCACTCGGGACAGCACTTTCCCCTTGCCATCCGCCTCCTCTGCAAGAAGGCTGCGCGTGAATTCCCGAACAGCTTTGTGGGCATCAGGGTTCGCCGAAGAGGTCTTTCCCACATCCATCTCCAGCAGGCGTTTCAGGACCGTCAGCAGCGCACGCCGCCTCTCAAAATAGATTCCCAACGTGCCATCCTCAGAGGCTTCCCCCTGAAACAGAACGGCTGAGCATTGGAATTGCTGAAAAGCATGATGTAGCCAATCACACCTGGTGTTGCTATCAATTGACACAAGGCAGCACAACTGAAATTTTGGATGTGTTTCTGACTTTCAAGAAGCCGCTCATTGCTTAGCAATGAGTGGCTCCTTGAATGTCAGGAACAGGTCTCAAATTTGTGAGGAATGTTCCTTGACTTGAAACAATTCACTGTTGCAATAGACAGCAGTCCTGTCGAATGCCAGGGCTGAATTGCCACATTCACAGACATGATCAACATGGAAATGAAATCCCGGGCCTGCACATCAGAATAACGACTACACATCGGCAATCGTAAGTGGGATGCTTGCTGAACAAGAGGTGGGCATTAGGTGCCAATATGGGCATGGGTGGTGATTTGGCACATTCTGTCAAACATGATCGCTACTCAAATAGCCATCCTGGAATTAATGCAAGCAATGGTGAAATGCACTGGAGAAAGAGCTGGGCACAACACAACTGTGACATCGGCTGCCAGAACCAACTTCCCACTGTAGGCAGACAGACAACAGCAGAGAGCGGAGCATGTATCAAAACATAGCTGCAACCTTGAGACAAACACAGCCATGTTTCCTTGTCTGTTTCCATGCTCTTCATCGGCAGAGAGTGCCTGGCCACTGGGATAGCATCTGTGCTTCAAGTTATGAACAAGATGCTCAACTTCACACCAGAAGCAACGGGCACCATTATCACCACTTGCATGCCTAAATGTGATGTATCTTGCCTTAAAGACACAATTCACGCAGCCTACAGGTCAGCATTGACAACAAGGTGGAGGGGGAGGTGTCGGGCTTGGGGTACTAAATGGTGGCACCGTCAAGACCATCTCCAAGGCACGGGTGATAAAGGTACTCATCACACTATGTCCCTCACCGTCTCTATGCCCGCTTGAACGCACAGCTCAACACATACTTTCTCATTCAGGTTTAACCTGTGGCTGATTCTGAAGGCCTATAACAGCAGAACACGCACGCAAAACTGGATGTCAGTGATTCTACAGATGGCTGGCAATGTGAAGTTCACTGCCCTGAATGATGGTGCACTTGCAACACAGTAAATATAATAATAATGGACAATCATAATAATAATGGACAATCATGCAGGGGCTCAAAATCAGAATTTCAAGGTCTGCAGTATGTGGTGCGTCTCTACTTTGTTGAGAACATCCTTGGCAGCATATGCCCAAAAGAACAAAAAGAAGCCTTTGCACTTTTCAGGTGATGTTGGGTAAAGCTTTTTCTGTGTGGAGCGTACAAATCTGCCTCTGCCACGATTCACATAGCTTTTTGGCATCTCCACATCCTGCCCAACACCTCCTAGGATGCACAGCAGCAGGAAGTAAATGCATTTAGGAGCTGCTGTTGCAGTGCTGTGTCCAACTGTCCACAGCCATCCCATGACATCCTGAAATATCCCACAAGTATCTTGGGTCACGTGACGCCACGTGCGCGATGGCGCTGGGCAGGTTTGGGATTTGGGGGAATCAGCGTGATGAGGGAAGGCGTCACAAGATCCTGTAGTATCCTTAGGTATCTTGAAATATCCTGAAACAACCTGCAATATCCTGACAACAACGTTGGACATCGCTGCACGGCTCAGCACAAAGCCTGCTAATGTTGCCACAGCTCCAACTGCTTACTGCTGAGTGGTTAACTGTGATGCGTTCACACCCTCATCATGGATTGTTTCTGGTGCCCAAGGAGTGCCATATGCTCAGCACTAGCTATGAAACATCCAAGCCAAGAAACAGCAATGAATACTGCCACAGTGCCTGCCGAGGGGAATGAAGCCTGTCATAAACATACAGTTGCAAGGCCTGCGCTCTTTCATGGTATGAAAATGCAGCCAAAGTGGCTTTTCGTGGCCACCATGGGAGGGACGTCATGTGGCTCAAGGGCAGTGAGGCACACTCTGGATTGGTTGCCACAAGGCTCACAGGAATGAAAGAATGTAGTTAGGAAAACATTCAGTAGGCCATACACACCCGAGCATTGTCCATACAGTGCAACTTCCTGCAAAGTGTACAAGTGCAGTTTGTCATGAGTCAAAGTGTGAAACCATTGTCAACTGTTTCCCCACAACTCTCTCCCAATGAAGGCATCCACTTGCCACTCACACTATGCCAACAGCTAACCAAAACGGGTTGGAATCACCACCAAAGAATCATGATCTTTCCATGAGTGGCATGATTTGCCATTGCAGACAACAGTGGTGGCATCAACAAGTGCAACAGCTATCATCGAAAGAGCTCTGCCAGTTTGTTGCTCTGGGGGAAGGTGTCCGCCACATGACAATGGTTCCTTGTGGTCATAGGGTTCTTGCTGGAAGCGACTACTGTGGCAGAAAGCTGTTCATCATGATCACTGCCAAGAATCCAGTTTCTGAGGAAATGTCTTTGGATACTTGTTGGCTACATGTTGTATACACTTCCATGTTGCACCGGGAGGTTTCTGCATTAACTTTCACGGTCTGCAACACAGTCTTGCAACATTTTCGTTCAGATATGGGTATGCGTGTGCATGGGGTGGGGATGTGGGTGCACAATACCGGCACTCCCTATATGCTGCAAATCGTATTCCACCCTACAGCCACTGCATGCATCCGCAAAGAAATGATTGATTGGCCGCCCACATGCCAAACACTCTTGTTCAGGACTGACATTGTCTTTCTGAACAGCCTGACAGGAAAAAGGCAATGACTGATATTGGCTTGGATCAATGAGAAATTTCCCCAAAAGGGTCTTCTGAAAGCACAGGGCCCTCATGAGCAGCTTGGGACAACACATTGCTATTCCACACGCTGTTTTTCAGTGCCCCACATGTGCCCTGTATGGTAACTTGGTTGAAGACAGCCAATCGCACCAAAGGAACTGCGCCCAGATGCCCATCGGCAGAATTTAGGCGACCTCTATGGCCACCCAAGCAACTACAATGTGGAAAGGGAGCTGAAAAACGTGTCCATTGTGCGGACAGATTCTTCTGCACCTTCAATGCGCCCATATGGGTTGTGTGCTTGCGAATTGCAAGTTGAAATTTGTTCAGCAGCAGGCACAATTTTCATCACCTTGCCCCAAATCCAGGAGTTTCTGGAAGCCACCGCTGCACTTAGAGGCAAGCAGCCAAACGGGTGGGCATATGCACAGTAACGTCCCCTGGGACAGGTCCTTCATTTGTTGAAAAAACCAATCTCACAGAAAGAACTTTGTGAGGAACATGATCATGGGGGATTAATTAAACATCTGCTGGCTGCTGCTGCGCCCGTTGTCGTTGGCCACGACGTGCTTGGGCCTCGATTTGTCCTGTGCCGCTGACAACATCGCAATCAAAGCAATCCCCCAAAACATGCGCCTCTGATCAGACTGAGCATTCTTTTGCATTCGAACAATTTGGGGCTTTCACATCGCCTTGCACTCTCTTGCTGGGTGGCACAAGGCCCGCATCTCTTGTGATGGGACAACGACATGCGATGTAATGCTCTGGAACCAAAAACAAAAGAAAATGCACGCCTGATTCGGACAAACCGAACGTCAGGCGCCCCGCCACGCACCCACATCGCATCCGCCGCCGCCAGCGTCACCAGCCCGTGCCCGGTCTGCACCCTTCCGGCCTCCACCTCCCGCCGCGCCTCCGCGCTGGGGCCCTGCCGCAGCCGCGCCCGTCCCAAAAACCATCAGCCCCTTGCAGACAATCTTGCAGCCGATCGGCCCAAGCGCCGCCAGGAAACACGCGCCCACTCCCGTAGAGTCCGCCAGAGCAAGAAGTGATTTGCGAACAGATCAACCGGGAACGGCGAATGCCCCGACGCCAATTCCCCATCCCAAGATCTTCACGCGGAGCAAAAACGGCGGCCGGCGGACAAGAAGCAAAACAAGCCGTGGCGGATACGTCGATCGGCAAAGTCCCCGGCGATCGCCAGCAAAACAATCGAGGAAGAACAGCAAAACAACAAAACAAAAACAATCGAGATTGCGCCAACCGCAATTCAGATTGCGCCAACCACAATTCAGATTGCGCCAACCGCGACGGCGGGGGCGGGGGGGGGGCTGTTCCTGCGCCCTTATAAGATTCGAAGGCGAGAATCGCACCCCCCAGTTCAGGAGGTCGATGAGGGACCCCCGCACTGCCCGCAGCTGCGCCTCAAGGTGGGGCAGGTTGAGCGGGCCACCGCCGAAGTCCACCGCCTCCAAGGAACGCAGCAGCGCGGTGCAGTCCTCCATGCCCCCAGTCGCGGCGCCTGAGGCGCCGGGCGTGGCAGGGGGTGGCGGGGCGGGGGTGGGCCCGCAGGCGGCTGGCAGGGTTCGATTGTCCTCCTGCCTCTACGCCGTGGGTTTTGGTGTTTTCAGCAGTTTCTGGACATGGAATTTTGGAAAAGTTTTGAAAAAAATTGCGATTGTGGACAATCTTCTGCAATTTTTCTCTGCAGTTTCTTTCTCTGCAGTTTCTTTGTGTGCTGTTCTTTCTGCCAGCCAGTGGTCTCGTGGCTGTTGTGCACCGCGGCTGCCAGGCCGCTGATGTACGAGGGCCTTTCTTTCGACTCCAGAACGTTAAATCGCACTTTGTGCGCAATGGTTGTCAGGTTGCTTGTGTGGGCTGCGGGGTCCAGGTCCGTCCACGAACCGGCGGACGAACTGTCCGTCCGCGAACTGGCCGGTTATTTCGCGGAAACGAATCGACGCCAGCGGGTCCGTCCGCGAAGTCGAGAAATCCGCGGAAATCTGTCCGCGATTTCACGGACCGATTTTCGCGGACGGATGACGTCAGAAACAGATGGCCGGAGCCGCGGACGCACTTTCCGTCCGCGAGCTTGCAGAAAAAAGCGGACGGACGGATTTCCGTCCCATGGGGCAGTTCACGGACCGTCCGTCCGTCCGCGATTTTTCTTTCCTGAGATTGAGCATTCTTTTGGATTCCAACAGCTTTGGGGCTTAACATCGCCATGCACGCCCTTGCTGGGCCCACAAGGTCCACATATCATGTGATTGGACGGGGGAAGGAACCTGAAATTTCAGCGTCACGCTGAAATGTGATGCAGTATTTTGGAATCAAAAATATAACTAAAAAAAAAAGTCTGATGTGCGCCCCCAATTTTCCAAGGATCCCACCAACACCTTTTTCGTAAAAAACATAGCACCCTGGGGATTTCATGGCAAGCATTTATATACCATTCGCATGGACTTGTCATGGAATTCTGGTACAAGTGTTCTCCACGGGCGCGTCATGCAATTCCTGCGAACGAATGTACAAGAGCATTCCGCGAACCAAAACCCTGGGCCGCTGTGCCAGTCCTTCGCGTCGAGAGGCTTCTGTACGGAGGGCCTCCCGACCTGCAAGTCCCCCTGCTTGGCCGCAGACCGACGCCAAACTCCAATATCAACGTCCATTATCAATCCAGCCCCCTGCCGACAGCTAACCACCCCACCCTAATCGCCAACAAGTCCACCATCAGTTTCCACAGGTGGGCCTGAACGTGCCCCTCGCGCACTGGATTCGCGCGCCACATTGATCGACGAAATAATAGTGCTGCTTGCACCAAATCGGTGACTGCTTGCACCAAATCACGTGCACAATAGGTCCTCACCTCAGTTTTAGGTTCAGGTTTAGGTTTAGGATTGGGGTTAGGGCTAGGGTAGGGGTAGGTCAGGGTTAGGGGTTAGGGCGAGGGGTGAGGGGTGAGGGATTAGGGTTTAGGGGTAGGTTTTAGGGGTTAGGGGTTAGGGGCTAGGTTAGGTTAGGTTAGTTTTGGAGGGATGTGATGCAAGCAGTCACCGATTTGGTGCTGACAGTAATTGAATGCTGTTCGCAACATCGCATAATGACCACCGTTTCACTGGGTGGATCACTTATGCATTATGGTGTGCGACTTGTACATATTTGTGCATTACCACTGAGTGTATGGGCACCTTTGACATATGTTTTATGAAGTGGGTTGCATTGTGGTGATGAATGGGCATCTCTGAAGTGCGGTATGGCTGGCTGATGATGGATGGTGGTCCTTGTCACATGAAAAGGAAAGTTCTGTGGGTGCAAGAAGATTCAAACTGTTCGGCTGCGGGGGTCGTTGCCGCCGTTGGCAAGGCTCTTCGTTGTGGGAAGGGTGAACAAATATGTAAGCCCTGGGCGTTTTGTGTGTGTCGTGGCCTTGCGTCTGGCTGTGCGCCAACCCGTTGAAGCATCCGCGATCGTGGATTCGCGCTTCCCGTGTGCACTCCAAAGGGGGCCGTTTGAATTGCACCAGCGGCCATTCCCTCATCAACGCCTTGATCGACGCCTGGCGCCATGTCGATGCATCCATGTGAGGCGCAAACACACAAGCAACCGGCTCGGCCGGGAACGGGGTCAAAACGCCCCAAACGGCGCAACAAATGACTCCGCGTCCGCCCCATGGGGAACCAATCGCTCGCCAGCCTCCACCCCTTCAACCTTCAACCCCCGCGCCACCCGCACATGGTTCAGTCGCCCACAACTCGCCCCACCCCACTGGCCCATTGGAAGCCCTGGGCCCCGAACCCCCTGGCCAGGCGGGTCGTCCGCACCGCCGCCGCTCGGACCCGCTGACCATCCCCGCCTCCGTCGATCTGCCCCCGCAGGCGGACACGCCCTCCGCGGAGATGCCGCGCTAGAAAGACGCATGAAATCCTCCCCTTAGGGCGACAACCGCACAGGCTCTTTCAGGGGGGGCTCTTAGGGGCCGTCGCGCACATTGCGCTGCCGCCGGCGATTCGTGCCGTTGCGCCGGGCGGTGGAGATTTCGAAAGGCGATTTGGAGGGGAGGCCCGCGGGGTGAATGGCATCCCTGGGGGAGAATGGGATCGTGGCCAGGGCGGGGGGGGACGGCGAGGGGCCCGGCGCGGAAGGAGGGGGGCAGGAGGGGCTGGAGCAGGGGATCTTGGTTGCGGTGAAGGACGCGCTCGCCTTTGTGAGGTGAGTGGAAGAGGCTGGGGGCGGGTATGAGATTTGTTGGAAAGAGAGAAAGAAACAGGTCGTGCTAAGGGACAGGCCGTGCAAAGGGCACCCCCGCCTGAGCGGGTGTACGTGAGACTCTTTTCCTTGCTTTGAAAAGATGATTTTGAGTCGCCCGTGCGTGGGGGCGGGGGGGAAGGGAGAGAAGTTGTGTGGAATTGTGTGTGTGTATGTGTGGGCGCGTGTGTGGTGGGAACTGGGGAACTCAAGTGGATTTGTTGCAAAGAGAAGGAGGCACGGGTCATGCAGAGGGGAACCCCTCGTGCGGGGCTCGGGCGGAAAATGGGATCTGGAGGTTGGGCTGGGAGGCGGCAATGGCGGTGGGCATGGGTTGGGTGGGGTTTGGGACAGCGCCCGAAATTTTGGTGGTTGGGGGTGTGGGGGTGGGCGTGTGGCGTGCGGCGGGCCTGGCGACCCCGCCGGTTGGCTCCTTGGAAGGGATGGGCGATTGATGACTTGGACTAAATGTTGGGCGGGCTGCGGCCATACCAGTGCCGAGTTAACCTCCTGGTCGCCTTTGCCCGTTGGCATGGGCGCGAACGCGATGGGCAGGGGCGCCCGCTGCCGCCGGCGCGGGAACTTGGACTCGCCGGGTTTTCGAATCCATGCGGTGGTTAGCGTGGGCGGGAAACGCGCGCTCGAGCGTCCGTGGCGAGGATTGACCGCTGTCCGCCGTTTCCGGGGCGTCGTGCCGCCTGAGGGCAGAGATGGGCTCCTCCAGGTGTGGGCGATCCGCGCGGTGGCCGCGGTGGCCGCTGGGCGCCGCAAAAGTTGGCGAGGAACACGTTGCGCGAGCGCACCGTCGGGCATTAGCGGCGCACGCTGCGCCTGGGCGAAGTCGAGGATTTGATGCCGGGGAGGAGGGTTGCGAAAGGGCCATGGGGACGGAGTGCCGCGATCACCTTCTCGAGCAGATCGGGCGCTCGTGAAAGGAGCTGGAGGAGACGCTGGATCGCGCTGCCTTTGCGCTGTCTGGCTTTCCGGACGCTCTGGGGAGCTGGCGCGGCCATGACCATGCAGGGGCCAATGCTGCTCCAGTTGGGTGTTGCAACTGCACTGTCTGGTGAATGTGTCCATTGCAGCAGTCTGGTGAATGTACCCATTACAGCAGAGGCGAGACACTGGCTTTTTCAGGCGCCTCTACTGAGTGCAGATCACCAGGCGGCATGGGCTTGGCTGGTGGTCAACAAGGACCTCAGAATGCTTGGCCGTTCCAATGTGTGGAATTTCTGCTTAGGTGCCCCACGTTTGTGGACCCTCTGGTGTTCAACGCGACCGACTTCATCCCAAAGGACGCTACCAAAGAAGGTGTGCCACACCTGCCGGCACACCTCTCACCAGGCGACGAGGTCGCCTTCAAAGTAGGCGCCAGGGTGGATGGGGAGCTGAGGGCAGTGGAGGTGAGGACAGCCTTGTCAAGCAGCATGGCAAACAGTTTGCACAAGCAGATCCGCACGGATCCATGCAGGCTGTCCATTCCTGGGCTGCATTCAACCACAGCACCTTGTGCAGCTCATCATTGGGCGTTGTGGCACCAATGGTCATCTTTAAGCAGTGAAGAAGCACATCTGTAAAGAAACACGTCCAACAGGACCTGTGCCCCGTGAGGCAGACTGCTCGTAGGATTGACACCCAAAAACACTGAAAAGCTGTGCATGACTCTGGCCAACTCACAGCCATGTGCCCCACTGTCCCACTCACAGCGTTGTGCGCATGTCTGGTATGCTTGGGACGATGAGCATGCCCTTCCTGGACATTGATGTTTTTGAGACTCTGCAGCCATAGCGTAATGTCTGATGCAGATGTTGCCGAGGGCGTGAAGTATTGGGCTGTCTGCCATTTACTGGCTCTCCTGTTCCAGTTGGATCTGCCTCCTGTTCCAATCTGACATCGCCCCAACTATGTAAGAGCAACATGTGTCATGATTTGAAAAATTGTGCAGTTCGAAAAAACAAACTTTTTGTGTAGTGACTTTGAAGAATGATACAAAATTTTGCTATCACCATCGGGAGCAGAAAGACCTCCTCCACACACTTCTGTTGGGAAGCATGCCAATGCATGATTCATCTCTCATTTTGGCAATCACTGAATGGCTGTCAGTGGTTTGTTCCTCTCTTTGAGTGCTCTGTGCCCATCTTCGAATGTGGAACAGAAGACCGCTTAGTATCCAAACCAAAGACAGTTGCAGAAGCTGCACCTGATCTGAATTGAAGGAGTGCCTAGTCCGCCTGGTGGCAGTTCAATCTGATGTAGAAACATTGATGCCCAACCAGACCCCATTGCCTTGAAAACGTCAACATGGCCACAGCACACGGACCTGGGCACGAAGGCTGCAGCATCCAAAACCCTAAAACTCAGTCTGGCTGGTCTTGGCTTCCCTCAGTACGATTCAACCAGGTTTTTCTCTCAACTGGTGGGCCAAGCTTTCCTTCTGTCTACTTTAGGTCAAACCTGTTTTCCCAACAGAAACTGTTGTGATACCAAAGCCCTTGGTTTCAGGTAGATGCATGGATTGGACGTCTGTGCAGGCAAACTCTGCCCAAGGATTTTCCGCAGATCACTTCTGAGCAGGGCTGTGCTGGCATGAGCACACTTGTGGGGAGTGCTTGATGGGTGCCAATGTTTTTAGGGTGGGGCAAGCTCTTGGTGGCAAGCGGGAAAAATGCACATTTTGAAAATGAACACCTGTAGACATTAACAACATTCAACAACAGATTTCGGGTGCAAGAGCGATCTGGGCAATTTGCCAGGAAATCGATGCTGATTTCTGGTCAGTCCGCAGGAACCCACCAGTCTCTGATCCTTTGCACCTTGGCCTCTTGCATGCCTAAGGATCACCATTGGTGAAGAGGGGGGGATACCATTTTAGTGCCAAAGTGTATTCTATGCTGTGGACACACGCTGCCAGAAGAATTTCTAAGTCTCCTGTGTCTCTTGAGTCTCTGTGCTGCAATATTGGGCCAGAACGAATGCATGTATGGCAACAAGCAGCCCAGTGGAAAATAATGGGCTTGTCATATCCCTCTCCATTGAGACAACATCCAGATCGAACTGCTGTATCCATGGCTCATGGGTTATATGTAGATATGGATAATTGACATCAATATAGGTAGATATTAAGGGAAGACACCATTCTGATCTCGGTATGCTCAGTGTCGAATGGAGACTCAGGAAAGAGGGGGGGGGGGGGGGGCCATGGACGCCAAGAGAATATGTAGTTGCACAAAAATCTGAATAACGTGGAAGTATGCACAGAAGCGGCACTGATCAGCGGTAGACACTGTCTATTAGACAGCTCATGGCTTGTTCCAAAAATTCCCTCAAGCTTTCGATCTTTGAGGAATTCCCTAGAATGGATCAATTTACAGCCTTTGGGGCTTCTCCCATCGCCTTCCATGGCTTTCAACTTTTCCCATTTTGCAGCCCTCTACGATCACTACAACTGGCTGTTTTCTCTCTTAAGACCATCTTGATGTTGTATTGCACTGTCAGATTATGTTGCTCAGTCATTCTGGCATCAAAATACGGATTTGCACTACGGAAAGGGGGAGGGTCTGACCTTGATGTCCATTTGATGCTGAGCATACCAAATGGAAAATAGTGTCTGTTCTCAAAGAGTTGGCCATTGCAAGAATTTCTCCCACTCGTTGCAACAATGGAGTTATGATGGACTCCACCCATAGAGAATCGCGCAGTGTCTCCCAGTGTAGAGGAAGTTGTGCTGAAATGATTGCCATGAATACCAGGAAGACAAGCATCTTTGCATTATTGCTTTTGTGTGTTGGGTGTGAATGTGTGAATGCATCCTTAAAGGAAAGAACACTAAGACAAGTGCCTTTCCTAGCGTGCACCTGCAACGGGGTAGTGTCACGCGTCGCCTCATGTCCAGGTACTCGTGCAAGATGTCCCGTGTGCTAGGGTGCTAGCGCAACCAATCATCCCAGGAGAAAGAGAAAATAAAATAAACCCATAATCCGGCTGAAGATAACCTGAGTGTGGCGGGTGTGAATATGAGCAATATGGATGTCGAATTGTTGATGCATGAAGCTAACTGCGAATCTGACCCCACCACTCATAAGTTCCTATTTGCAGCATTTCAAATAAGAACAAGCTGCAACATGGCTAGGTGTCTCACTGTTTTGACGCCAAGGCACAGTGCAACATGGTCCACATGCAACACATGTGCTGATATTTAGATGCTGGTGGCAGGTGAGGAAAAGTGCAGCAGCCCGGGAACGCAGACCCTCAACAGCGCAGCCTCCCTTCATTGGGCAGCATGGTCAGTCGGATGCCTTGCGCAATGACTTCAGGGCGGTGAGTCAGCGAGTTGAAAGTGTTGTAATCATTTGAATTCTTGTGTCACATGGGGGCACAGCACATTCACGCTTTCAGGCGCTGGCGACCAGAACTCGGTCCAACTGTTCATTCAGAGTATTTCTTAACTTTCAGATTTTAAAATGTCAGGACAGAAAAAGGATGAATGATGACTTGGTGCAATTGTGATATGTGGTACATGTTTGCAGCTGACATACCTCTGCACCAACTGTGGATTATCGTGTTGTACTTTTTTGTGCATATTTCATGTGTGCTAGTTATTGCAATGTCTTGCATGCATGTCATGTTATGCTGTACGTAACGCCTTGTGCATTGCCATGGCATGGGCATTGTGCAGACATCCACTAGATGGACATCTCTTGTGAAGCTTGAAAGTCTTACACAAGCAAGTCCCCACTGTCTTGCATTTTGGCCAGTGTGGCGATTGGCCACAGATGGAAATTTGCAGCTGCCAGTACCGCTGCCAGATGTTTTTTGTTTCATTGTGGTTTTGCAAGGACACTTACTGCGATCAACAGTCTCGTACATTGCACATCCTTTTCTGCAAAGTGGTTGGTGTTGAAGAGAACTGATGTGGGGTCAGAATTGTCCCCATGGTTTTATTGTTTCATCCAGTATGTATCTCATGGTATCAGATTTTAATAGCATCATGCTGTTCTGCCTTGTCGTTTACTTCGAAGTATTTGCAGTATGTTTGTCATGCTGCCAGAGACTTGTGGGCGCACTGTGTGCACATTGCCTTGAGTAAGCAACAAAGTACAACAGCAAGTTACTGCTAGTAAGCTACTGGCAGTAAATGACTGTTGCTAGATTGTTAGCAACCGCTGTTGATTCCTGCCGTTAGCATGGGCCACTGGCTGCCACTTACTGCTGTTTGGAAAACTGTCAACTCAGAGAATAGTAGACCGCAACCTTCTGACACCAGCTATGCATGCATGCCCTCCAGTTGTCTGGCATCTCTGGCTTCTCCAGCGCCCTGTCAAGTCACTTCTCTGGCCTGTCGGACCTGCTGGCCCGCAGTGAAAGTCTTGGGCAGTCAATGGGCGACAGCATGGGGATGGAGATGCAGAGCTCGACACGGGAGGAAGGCATTGTGGCAAGGCTGAAGGACACCAATGGTTTCATAAAGTAAGTGCCCCATTGCTTTTTGTTCATTCCAATATAGTGCATCATCCAACCCCGTCCTGGCACAGGATACGCAAGCGTTGTGCCACCAAGCAAGAGAGTGCATGGCGAGGTAAAGCATTCAAAGGTGTTCGCATTTAAGTGATTGTTCAGTGTCCGGGAAGTTTGTTAGCCCGGGGGAGGGGGGGGGGGGAAATTGGTTATCGAAGCAAATCGAATTTCTCTGTTTATTGTGATGAGAGTGCACCGCTGTTGCAAGCTGAACCATATTAAATCAAGAGTCTTGAAATGTCCCTGAAGGCCAGCACTTTTATGTATGGGGAAGAAAGGGATCGATTCATCCAAATGTGAAACACTAAACTGCCATGTGTCACAGCTCTGTGTTGGGAGCCTGTCGTCCTCATTGTGGTCTGTGATTCACTTGAGAACATGGCTGTTCAGATGCAAGGTCTTTGTTTGACGGGTGCGAAAAATGCAGTCCAGTGAACTTAACTATTCCTTAACTGCATTTCTTGGTGCAGCACTTTGGGCAACTCAGCTGGGACCATGAACTAAGGACACTGCTCTTGAACAGCATCTGTGCTTGTGACCATCGCCTGAACACACCTTGCCTAAGTTGACATGACCTAACCTAAATTGACATAACCTAACCTAACAGAGCAGGTGAAAAGAGGACTGGTTGTCAAGTTCTGCAAAATGCTGCTAGTGACGATTTCCGCTTCTGATCCACTGGGTTGAACATGCAGCCGACCCCGGCCACACTTGGGACGGATCTTCTTCCACTTCAAGTACCTCCGACCCACTGAGGGCGGCGGCACCATATCGAGGCTCGAGATTGGGACGGAGGTGTCATACGTTGTGTGTCGGGAGGGTGGCAGAATGTTTGCGGCAGATGTCGAACTCATGCCGAAAGGCACTATAGTCCAAGAGGTAGAACTCGAAGGTGTGGACCTGTGGTGAAGACATTCACCAGGCATCAACACTGCTTCAAATCCGTTGTGCTACGTATGGGGATGAGTCTGCACTGCCGCTGTTCGAATCCGCTGTGCCGCTGTGGTTAGGGATGCATGTTCAATGCCAGGGGCCTCATGTTTGTGGTGTGGCATGTCCCGTGCCCTCTATCCTGTTTCCTTTCCTGTTTCCTGTGTGTTTGGCACAGTGGTGCACTGGGCTCGGTTGCTGCTCCCACTGCTATAATCGTTGCTCACTGCCAACACTGCTGAATAGCTGCCATTTCTTTGGCAGGCTGCCATTGGTTCTGGGTCAGAAAAATTCCTGCTGCTCAATCAGCCTTCATCCACATATTGATGCGGATCACATTCTGAACAGGTGGTCGAGCACAATGGTGTACAAATCTCGCCACATGTTCTGCTCAGCAACTCCCTTCCCCTTCCTCTGTTAATTCCATTTAAGTTGTTGTGCGGCAGACTGAAAATGTTGCAATGACGGACAACTGCTGTGTTGCGCAATTTGCCCAAGAGCTGTTTGAGCGAATGCCCAAGTGTGTCCTTTCTCTTTGGTATGGCGAACAAGGAAATGTTGCTTGTGCAGGTCATGTGAAGGGGCGTGTCATTAAGCCAGCCCTGTCCCAGCCTTCAGATGTGCGAGAAGATGGAATTGTGGGCTATGTTGATGAAGAAGGGCATGAGCAGCGATGCTACTATGGCAACCACCAGGTAATGGAATTGAGAAGAGTGTGAAGTACACAACGTACACACTTTGAAGTGACATTGCCTCCTGTGCTGCGATTTTTCACAAACTGCAGATTCTGTGTGTCAGTCTCAAGTGCTCATGGACTGGGTTACATTTGAGCTCCCCCTCCTGGCAATAATACATGCCATCTTTTTGGAGATAGACACATGCTTATATGTTGTTGGGGAAATTTGTGTGTGTGGGGGGGGAGAGGGGAGGGGGGGGGGGGAATTGCCTGGGTTGTTCTTGGATTTCCAGTGAAATGTATTCCAACTGGGAGTCTAGGTGTCACTCACATCTAACAGATGGGCTGTGGGCCTTCTGCCACCCTGTGAAAAAGTGGAGGGAGTGCAGTTAGTTGTTGTATTTGTTCTTTGTATGGCACAAGAACAATCTTTGTTGAGAATTATCTGTGAAAAGAAAAGCAATACTTCCTGTGTCCAAGATTAATTGTCCTCTGAAAGACAAAAATCGCTACAAGGACGGCCTCAGAATTACAAAACAAGTCCAAAATCGGAAAGACTGGGTTGCAAAACCCTTAACTACCAGTTTTCAAGAGGAAAAAATGAGACACGACCCCTTTGAGAGTTAGGCGAAAGGTCCATTTTGGTCATTTTTGACCCCAATTACCAAGATTTACCAGGTGAAAAGACCCTTGATACAAAGTACTGCGAAAACTCAATCCTTAATGGATTGATTATACTCCAAAATTACAGACACAACTTTGGGTGAAGTTTCAGTGAATATTGATGTCAGTACGATGGAGAAGTGATGTCCCAAAGTCATAGAGGACAATTATTCTTGGACAGAGGAAGTATGTGGACAAGAACGGTGTACGCGCTACTGCATATGAGCCAACAGTCTCCCATTCAGGAAATAGGATAACAATGAGGCCATGGGTGGGGATGTGTACACAGGTGGAACAGCCTGATGTGGAACTGGACGAACGGGACGAGATTGAGTTTAGGGTGATATGCAACAACTACAGGAGGGAGGGAAGGGCCTTGGAGGTCAGGCTCATCTCCAAAGCACCAGAGCGTCGCGAACTTGGAAAGGTGTGGATCAAATCTTCTTTCAGTGCCGTTCTGGCTTTGATGGGCAGATCTCTTTGCTCCTGTTGTCTGGATTTTGTTGCCATGAGTGGCTTGACAATGAGCATGCGTCCCAGCAACATTCCCCTGTCTTTCAGAGGGAAATCGCAGGGCATGCCGAGCAATCTTTGAAGGTTACACGTTACAGAGGTCTGCATCACTAACGTCCTTTATGTACTCACTATTCACCTCCTGGCAGCTACAAGCCAGTTTTTGCAGGGGCCGTATGACACTTTGCAGGATGTGGGCACACGGTTGCCAAGCAAAGGGCTCTGGCGCTTCCTTCCATTGCGTTGCTAATTGTCCAACTTGGGCATGCTTGCTCAGCATGTGGTTCGCAATGCAGCAAGTAGCATGCCTTATGATCTTCAGGCCACCAACAATTTCGAGTTCGGTGGCTGCTTTTTGTACTTTTGTTCCTTTGCTGTGTTGCATCTGCTGCTGCAACACAACAGTTCCTGGATTTTGACAGTGCGTTGCTCCTTTATCTGGTGGGACTTAGGGCCCATTTGACAGTCTCTTATCCATCAACGTCACAAGTGCATTCCCCTCAGCCGATGTGTTGGATGGGCTGTAAAGATACAAATGGAGCAACTGTGCGTGCAGGTGGCCGTGCTGAAAAACAACTTTGGTTTCATCAAGTGCTGTGAGCGCCATAATGATGTTCTCTTCCATTTCAGTGAGTTGGATGGCTTGGAGCCAGCTGACCTGGTAGTGGGAGACGATGTGGAGTTTGCAGTCAAGTGGGACCGGGAGAAGGGCAAGCAACTGGCGCTAAAGTGAGTGCACTTTGCAAGGGAGCCCTGCCCCTGATTGTTGACATATCTGCAGTATTTCCATTCCGATTGCAGGTCACACAGTGTGGCGGTGTCACCTCTTTTACATCAACTCGAGGCAAACCAGGGTAGTGCAGGCTTGATCACAGTTTATCCCATTTGGTTTGTGACACTACTTTGGCAAAGGCAGAGTGTTGTCACATTTGGAATCAACCGTGCCCTGTGTCCTGGCTTTGGAAAGTGGGTTGGGTGTCCCCAGGGCTGCACAGCCACAGTCCGTCAGTGGCCACACTGTTAGCATTGCTGTGCAGCAGTTTGGCGTTCAGAATGAATCCACCTTCTTGTGCAGCATGCTCCTTTTAACTCTGCAGATAATTCACACATTCGCAGTATGCACAAAATGTATTCAACATATGATCAGTGCATCAAAGTACTGATATCTTGCGTGGCATAAACGCAGATTCCTTTGGGGGGTTTGAGGGAGGGAAGGGGCCGGGGAGCCCTTGGCAGGGTTGCGCTCTCTGACGTCTGCACTGGTGTTGTCAAGTCATCGTTATGGCAGGTTCGAAGTCTTTATGGAGGGCTCCAGCAACAAAGTGCAGTGCATCCACTCTCTTTGCATCTACCATAAATGCCAGCTGCTATTGTCAATAAGGAGTCAATAGTTTCCTGCGCTCTCTTGTCAAGTGAGAAATCAGGGCATAGCATTTGAGGGCACATGACCTACAGTTAGGACCCAAGGGGGCTGTACTTTCCCTCTTTTCTGCACTTCCTACCCTCATCTCCCTGCCATCAGGATTTCACACGGATGGGCAGTACTTTGTATCTCACTTTCGTTATGAAATGCTTGAAATGTGTTTGCACAATTCGGCACCTTACAAATTCAGTGTCCCAGTGCCTTTGTGCAATGCTGAACCTTCCTCTGTGACCAGGGTCAGAAAGGCAAAACCGGGGTCAGCAGTCTTCGAATTGCTGTCTGCTGAAGTGTACTATGGTCTGGTGGTTGAGCGCCTAGGCTTGTGGAAACAGTATGGACCGGGCAGCCATGGTGTTGTGCTGTTCGAAAGGAATGGCTGCTCAGAGAAGCTCACCTTTGGAGGGAATGACCTTGAGGTGGGTGCTGATTTGCTGCATGCCCCTAGGGGATGTAAATCCACCTTGGCTACATTGCAGTTGCAACAAAACGTGTGGCAAGCCGCTGCCTTGTGTACATGTTAGCCATTGCTGGGATGTCCGCAACGGGCCTATGTGCTTGAGAAGTATTGTCTTCTGTAGATTTGCTTGCAGAATACAGCTGACTTGTATACCTTGCATACATACCATATGGGCTGGGTGTCACCAGATGGGCATGGTCATGATATGTAAATAGCCAATTCATGTGCGAATTTCTGGCATTCTTTTTTGGTGCTTTGCTTTTGGGGAAGCACGCTTGGACTTGGAGGATTCTTGTGTGCTTCATGACTTTGCTGCCTGAAGGGGCAAGCAACCCCTGCAGTATGCAGTGCACAGGCACACTGGCCTGAACCCCAATGATGTACGTGTGTTTTGGGCGTTTATGACTCATATTCTGATTTCTTTTTGGGGTTAGGGTAATTAATCACTGGTGAAAAGATTGCAAAGTAGCAGAAGATTGGGCTGAAGTAATCCACAATAGGCACTGCAAAAACATGTAGGACCCAGTCCCCATTCAGGGAATGGAATGGCCTGTGGCTGCTTCAGCAAAAGATGGCTGCCTAGCCTCTCGCACAGCCTCTGCCATTTTGACTGGAAACATGCAGTGAATCTGGTGACTCTGTAGATCTGACTTCAGAAATGGTGCTGCAAACTTGCCTTCTTTGATGCATTGCTGTTCAGAGCTCTTGGAAATTGTATATCTATTTACACCTTTCCATTCAGTGACATTGGGGTATGTCAGTAGCATCTCCGCCCTCAGCTTGCCTGCCATGCTCTGTACATCACACCAAGTTCCTGTTGATTGTTTTAGACAGAGCTCTTTTGCCATTGTGGCTGTGCTGGAAGGGTGTGTTGTCAAGAAAGATATGTTTTGTGAATGGCAGGATCGGCAGCTGAATCCACAGGTCGGTGACAAAGTATCTTTTCGCATCGCCACGAACCTGGCACAGGCCAAGTCAGCAGAGAAGCTGGATGGGCCCGCAGCAAAGTACGGAGGCCGTAGAGCCACCGAGGTTGCGCTTGTAAGGTACATGGGCAAGGTTGCATCCATGTTCCAAAATGGCTCCTATGGATTCATCGACTATGAGCATGAGCGGGGAATGTCCAGGATATTCTTCCACTGCAGTGAGGTGGGGCGATGTAGTGCAGCAATGGTGTGGTCACCTTGAAACATGAGTTGGGAGCTGGGATTGACATTCACCTTGCAATTGTTGAACTCAGTGTGGTACGTTTGTTGTCCAAATGTGTAAAGGTGATGCTGGCCACTTTTCTCGATCGTTGTGTTTTTTTTTCCCCAAAGGTGTCCACTGGACCATTTTGATGCACATGACATCAAGGGCCAGGGGAATGAGGCCAGTGGTCTGGGTGTGAACAAATGGTGCCTCATCTGGGACATGGTTGCATTGTTGCTGATACTGTGCCGATCTGTGTGGTCAGAATGCCGTCTTGCGGACTTCTACTATTGGCAACATTATTGGCACTAATGCTCTAGCACGTATGCTCTAGCCCATATGCTCCAGCACGTTTGCTACCGCAAACGTGTGCAAGATGTCTTGTGTGCTAGAGAGTTTCAGAACTGTGGAAATACGCTGCCGGCCTCGTTTGGCTGCAGTGGACGACTTCTTGGAAGGGGCTGTGGCAGAGCTAGAAAGCAAAGTGCCATGGTCACAGGGACTAACAAAGTACTAAAGATCCTCATCACTCTTGTCACAGCTGCACATCTCTGCCCTTGTGCTGAATACGACCAGCCATCATAGTCAAGGAATGAGCCAATTTGACAAACAGTGCATACATGCAATTCCTTACAATGCACTGAAGGTATTGTAGCATGTTCCGTCACACTTGCCAGATGCAGCACAAGCCAGAGTCGCACAATACTTGCCTGAATGCACTATCAGGCGAACATGCAATGTACATGGCACTGCCAGCACAGCCAACATGGCGATTCCCCAGTGCTGCAGTAGCGATGCTTGACCTGCTTCGCTGCCTCACAGGTCGAGAGGGGAGTGTACCTTCGGCCTGACGACGTTGTCAAGTTCGTGCGAGTGTACAATCCCCAGAAGCAACAGCACCAGGCCAGGAGGCTACAGAGGATCCAGGAGGCTCCTGTGGCTCCCAAGGGCGGCCTGGAAACAAAGGGCTCTGGGAGCAAGCTGCAGCTCGTGCCATCGCCATTGACGCTGGAAAAGCCATCACTCACACTGAAACTGGGCGACAGGTCCACAGCAAACCCACAGTCAGCTCGGGTATGCAAGCGGCTGAGTAAATCCTTTGGCAGCGTTTTGTGGAAAGTGACGATACACAGCCTGTGCACGTGCAAGGCGATGTTGGGCTGGTGGTTGCACCGGGCTGTTTTCTCTGGGACGCAGTTGGCAAGCTTACTCCCAATCGCACAAGCAGCACCCCAGCTGTCCAGGAGTGCCAGCAGCTTTTCAGCTTTGCAGGCTCCGCACTGTGCAAGCTAACATTCTGCAGGGGCAGCACTGCATTGATCCAGGCAACAGCAGCCCAGTCCATAGCTTTTTCATGTTCATTTGTGAGTGCTGTGCTCTGCGTGCCCTGCAGTTGGTAGAATAGCCATGGCAAGCAAGCCCTTGCACCTTGCATGTGATGGCAGCTGCAGAAAGATCCAAGCAGTGTCTGTCAAATTCTCTAGATCATCATTTGCGCTCAAGTTCACTGTGCTCTGTTGCTGCCATTGCCTCCCATACGCAAGGCCACCTTGCAGGACTTCAGAGGCAGTGTTCAGCATCAAATGCATTCATATTTTGGTGCTTGAGAAAACAGAGGCCATCCACAAGGAAGGCTGCTGCCCTCTAGGATATTGTCTTTGCAGTGGCCTCAAGGCCTGTATGCCAGACTTGATGCTCCTGCGTTCATTTGTGATGAAGGTTGAGCTATTCACCATCTGGATGCAGCCACTGACAAAATACAGTTGCATGCAACAAAATACAGTTGCATGCAGGTTGTTCCACAGGGCCTCGTGCCAGGATGCACATTTCCACCATGCTCGAAGCCACTTGCTTGTTCCTGTGCTGCCCCCTTCCTGCAAGTGCACACATACACTTTGCCATTGGTACTTCGTCGCACCAAGGATCGTCTTCCCAACTTGAAAGATACAATGGGCGCTCCCTGGACAAGCACTTGTGTAGGGCAGAATACTGTGCTGTGCAGTGCAATGAGAGTCCAGGGGTTTGGTCCTGTACTGTGCTGACAGGCGTGTGCCAACTTGCAGGGTGGTGCATTCGGCAAGACAGCAAGGGGACCAGATGGCACCAAGGGGTTTCCATCTGGGCGTGGGCGATGCTTGGACCCTCCCATTGAGGAGCTGTCTCCAAGATCATGTGAGCATTTTGCAAAGCACAGTGCAGAAGGAATGTACTTCATGGAACTGTTGCTGTTGTCATTATTGTGTTTTGATGTTAGTTTGTTATGCTGTTTGTTTTATTGTATTGTCATTATCATTATTGCTCCCAAAGGTATAATTCCTTAGCTTACACCCCTGCTGAACTTTTCACTATTGCAACTGTCCTACGAATGCCTCAAACGACTTGTGCCCATTCTTTATGTTGCGATTGAGCTGTGCTGGTCAGGAATGGGAGATGGTTCTATAGTGTTTGTTGACAAATGGACTTGCCCACACGCATCCACTGGTCCTTGCAAGGCAACCTATAACGCCCAAGACAATTTGCCACTTCCCCGCCAAGGGGCCAACATATTGGGTGCATATCCAGAAATCACAAACTAAAGTGGACCCCTTGGCCCAGAAGTCTTGGCGCCCCACACGAAATGAAATCCAGGGAGAAGGAACAGCACAAGAGAGAACAAAAACACCCTCGTCTCGACCTGACACCACACATGGCCTACATGCCAGCTGTGCTGTGAACGCCCGATCTTGTGCTGCGAAAGAGCGTTGCCTTTCTCTTGGAGAGTGAGATGCACCATTTGCACCACCAGATGAGCTGTAGAAGTCCCTTACGGGGACTGTATGTTGCATGGCATCAACGTATCAATCCACCAAAGGACAGAGTGCTGGCAATCATATGTTCATTTATGTGCTGTTTTCCTGGCTGCACATAAGTGCTATTGACATGTGGTGCCGCAATGCCTTTTCATTGAATAGCTTACGCTGCAGCCACAGAGAATGCTCTCCAATCTTCCTTGTTTATCACTACTTGTTTATCCAGAGAATGTCGCTGGCTCCATTCCCTCCCATTCTTCAAGCACCATGCATGCCTTTTTTTTTCTGGGAGTGCAGTTGTCTCACCTGTATCCTGGGTTCAGGCTGCCCAGATGCAAAAACATGAACCCCACTTCCTGACTCTCTCGGCCTCATTCCAACTTTGTGACCGCGGTGGGGGTTTGCCTTTGCAGCCAAGAAGCTTGACCCAGCTGCGACCCCTTTCATACCGAGATCAATGAGTGGCACAGACTCCATCCCATCACCTGCCACATTGGAGGAGGTTGAGCTGCAGCCCCGTCCTGCAGCATGACTGTGTCCAGACACACCACATGCAATGTGGCAGCTGACCCCCCTTCTCTGACTCGATCCTGCCTTCTGTGAGGAGCTTGCTCCAGTCTGGGGTTGCCAGTGCTGCCAGCGTCGTGCCCCTCAAGTCCTAGCAGCATTAGAAGTGATGAGTGGACTGCCAAGAAGGGGGTGCTTGCGGCTGTGGAGACAGCCCTCTCTTGCCCATGGTGAGAGGACTAGCAAAGAGGGGGCCCGAGGTCATGGAACGGCACTGCTGTGCTCAAGGACAAGGAAGTGTGCATAGTGCTGATGTGGACGCTGACCAGCATGCAGTGTTTTCGTGGCAACTCCCGGTGTCATTCGTCACATGTGTCCAACTCGAGCGTGGTCCAGCCCGCAGGATTGGTCGTGTCTGTGTGTGTGTGCGTGTGTATGTGTCTGCGTGTGTTCTGTATGTACCTGAGCTCATGTCTTTGTTGGAGGCTGCTGGCTCCCGATCGCAGAGACATTTTGGCTTGGATCTCTTTCCGGGCCAAGTAGCTGCCTGCCCCGAGTTTCTGAGCGGAGTGTTGATAGTGCTGAGTCGCCTGCTTGGTCACCTGGTGCCCTCCCAAGGGGGGCAGCACCTTCTGATGGGGAGAGCACGAAACAGCCAGGCGATCAGCTCTATGGCGACTGGGCTGTGGGCTTGTGGGCACCGCAGGAGCTGCAGAAATTGTGGGTGTCGTGCATGCAACCCGCAAGAGAGAAGATCAACACTGTGTAGTTGCTTCTGTGAGGGGACGTGTGACAGGACGTTCAGATTCGTGTCACCTACTGGGCAGAATGGGGAGTATCATAGATGGGCAGGTGGTGGGGAGGCGGGGGAAGGGCAGGGCTGCTGGGTTGGGAGGTAGGTGGGTGGGCAGGTAAAGGGGTGGTGAAATGGCGGATGACTGGTGCTGTCTGTATATGTGGGGGATTTAAGCAAAGTTGTACAAGGGCCGGAGTGCTTGTGGATGGATCAAGGCATGCTTTGCGCACAGAAAACACTGGCCGTGCATCAGTTGGCACAATGTGATGTCATCCTGCATCGACGATGGGCCGGTCCCTTCGCCATTCACAGCGCTGCAGGAGTCACCGTTGAGAAGGACTCTGTTTGAAAGCGGGACGTGCTGCCGATAGCAACGGACGCGGGCTCCTGGTGTGTTTCTGTGAAAGCAGGATAAGGTGCCGTTGCATATGTGTTGCGTCGGCGAGGCGTTGTAGCGGGCTTGGATGGGTGGATGCGGGCTTGCGGACCGTGCAGTTCAATGCCCCCGGCCGCTCATGAACCAGGAGGCCAATTCAAGCGCTGTAGGGCTCCCACATTGGAGGGCATTTTCGCGGCTGCACAAACCGCAATAGTGACGTACGGTCGCTCAGAACCCAACGACCCTTGGCAGGAGGAGGCCTTCCAATGTGTGGCCTGTTCGCTGGGTTGGGAACTTCCTCTCGACACTCGCAAGGAGACCTAGGCTGACCTTTGTTGACCTGCGACGGGCCTACGGCAGTCGTTAGGCAGGGCTCCTTGGAAGCCACGGTGCCTAAAACACAGGCCTGCCAGAGGCGTAACAAATCCTGGGACAAGTGCAACCTGGAAGTTCTGCGGCGGTGCTGGCTCGTTGCTGTCCACTGTTGGGCGGGACCGTACTGAAGCGCCCTTGAGGCCACCGGCACGACCAGCCCCCCCCAGCCAGGTCGTCCTCGGCTGGATTGTGGGTGCTTCCGGGCAGCTCCCCTGCCGGCTCGCTCAATGCCGAAAAAGCACTGCCCTTGCCGTGTCAGCCAGCCGCAACCTCTCGGCCCAGCGTTACCTTTGGCCTCGAACGATATCTGGGCGCCGGGACCGGACGGGAGCGCCGCGCGGCCTTCCGGCTGTTCGACGGCCTTGCCTTGGGCCGGTTGCCTGGGAGAGGGCGGTCCATGTCGCTCAGAGGGTCACTGCGGCGAAGACGGTGGCCAACGGGAGCGTCCTCATTCAATCGCGGGCTCCTGCAGGGGCGCCTCCAGCACAGTCTGCAGGGATTGATGTGCATCTGACGCATATCAATCCGGGGATCAATCCCTGAGCCTCCCCAAGAAGGGCCTACCAAGCCCCCACCAGCGACTGGTGTAAGTCGCTGAAGCAGCGCCCATCAGCCCATTCGATTGGCGCTGCGAAGGCCTAATGGCTTGAGCTCGCCAGCCAGCAGCCATCCGCCATCCGTGGTTGGCTGCCCTCGATTGTTGCAATAACGGAACCGAATGTTCTCTGTTCGGAAGCAGAGAAGGGCCGTACGGGCGGTGTTGCAGCGGCGGGCGTCCTGCAGCTGCGCGATCGGAACACGTATACCGATCTTGCAAAACGGAGGACGCCTTTTGCACCGGTACCCTTTCTCAAATTGCTGCCATGCCGGCGGCCTTTCTTCCCTTGACTGATCCTGCAGCCGCGCGGAAGCACGAGCCTGTGCCTGGGCTCCGCCTCCGACTGCTCCAGCGATCGGTTGGCGATCGGTCCATCCTGACCGACACCAGGCGGCCCGGCGCCACCAGCCACGCGAGCGGGCGGCGTGCAACCAGCAAGCAGACAGCAGCGCAGCAAGAAAAGAAACCAGAAAAGACAAGGAAGAGCCCACTGCCGGCAAACGAACCCCTTCGATTCCCAACCCGTCCGGCCCTGGATCCGCATCTTGGGCGCATACCCGTCACCATCGCGCCTGGCTCCAACAGTGAACCGCTGAGCGGACGTCGGTTTGGCCGTTGGCAGTTGATCGGCTCAGCGCGGTGCACGCTCTTTTCTTCTGGCCCGTTCAGCCCCGCCCAGCGGCAGAGCGCCGGGCCCCCTTCCTTCCCCAACCCGGGCGCGGCCCCCCACCGAGAACTGCACAGCAAACGCCGCTCCATGCCTCGATATTCAACTGGCCCACCTCGAGTGCATTCACCTTTGCCTTTCTTTCCATGCCGTTCACCCCGTTTCAGTCCGTCCCTGCCACTGAGTACTGCCCCCTCCCCCTTCCCCGTGCACCGCGAGTCCGCCCCTCCAACGTGTCACCGCGAGCCACTCAGCCTCAGTCACCCACCCCGTCGTCGTCCAAGGGCTGCCCGGGCGCAGCACAGGCTCTTACGTAACGAGATTGCCCCCTTGGCCCCTTTAGCCCACATCCACCGCCCCCCACCCGTGCGGCGGAACTCGGAACCGGGCACGGCAGCACGGCGCAGCAGCCATGGCCGCCGCGGCCATGTCGTGCTCGGCGTTCGCGGGCCCGCTGTGCAAATCCGGCGTGGGGCGAACGTGCACGCTCTACACCAAGTACTCCGAGGACGGGGATGTCGTCTACGAGGGCTTGTCCGAGGGCCAGCTGCTGAATTCGCTCATCGACCAGGCGGACCTGGATTGCGGCGACACGGGCGACAGGCGCCTGAGGGCCTACAGGGAGCTTCGCGACACCGCCAGCAGCCACTGGTGGGCGGGGATGGCCCCGAATCTCTGGCGGCCGCGTGTTGGAAGCGGAGATTTTTGTTTGGCATGTCGGCGGCGGGCGGCGGCGATGTTTTTTGTCCGGGTGTTTTTCGTCGGAGTGCCACGGTTGGCCGATTGGATGTTTGGAGGGGGTGGAGGGCCGTGATGGACGCGTGGGGGGCCGATGGGGGCCTGTCGGCGGGGGGAGGGGGGCGCGGCCGCGATGCCATGGCGCAGATCTCGGGACATCTGTCGGGCATGGCATGGATGCGGCGGGTGGGGCCGACCCGTGGGGCGATCGCGCGGGCGCGTGGCGGGCGGGCGGAGCGCCCGGGGCCCCGCGGTGCGGCCGGCGCGGGGCCGACGACTGCAATCTGCTCGCCGAGCTGCTTAGTAATGCCGGCATCAACCTGTCTTGTTCGGTGTGGGTCGAGCGGTTGGGGAGATGCGAGGGATCGCGGTATCGGGTGGTGGGGATAGTGCGCCTGGGTCGCTGGTCTCGGCCGAGTGGGGGTCAATCGGGGAGTCCCGCCGTTGCGGGCGACCGACGCGTATGTAATCACCATTCTGTCGGCTCGAAAGAGTCATTGGCAGATTGGGCGCCGGCCGCCCGCCGGGCCTTCCAATCGGTCGAAAGCGGCGCGGGGGCGAAACGGGAGATGAATCCGGGAGCGCGGGCTTTTGCGCGTTGGGCCGTGGGCGGGCGAGGGGGATGCCGGCTGACGTGTAGAGCACGTGCGGGCATCTCGTCACGACGACCGATAGGATGTGTTTGTGGGGTGCCGAACATGTGACAAGGAACGTCGTGCGCTTGCAAGGCGGGCACGTCCAGAGCGCGAATTGTCGCCTCGATGGACTGCAACGTCCCTTGGGGGAAAGCGCCGGGGGTCCCCCCCCACGGATTGTGCATGTGGGTTGTGGGTCCCCCGCCCCCCTTGGAAACATGGGCACCCCCATATGCCCACGAGCTGGGTCGGTGCTGATTGCCTGCAACTCATCTGTTCTTAGATTGCCAAAAGGAGGCGTGCTGGTGACCACAGCCGCGTGATGTTGACGACTTTAATTTGCAGCACTTGCAGGCTTCTGAGGCTGCCTGCTGACAGAGCTGCGTGCCGCCACATGGCAGAAACTTCTCATTGTGTCTGACGTGCCCGAAGCAAGCACTTTTTAAGGCAATGGGCCTTCGGACCACAAGGCTTCTCGCATGCATTCTGTTGTGCATGTTTTTCTTCGAATACACTTGCACACTTTTAGTAATCTTTCCCGTTTGGAAAGGGTCTCCCAGAATATCTTAACGGGGGGCAGCCCAGCGCACATCGTGTGTGGTGGTTGAGAACAACTGCCACACAGGTGTCCACAGCCGCAATAGTGTATTTGGCTCAGTTGGCTACACATCGCGATGCAGGTGGCAGACTACTTTCGACTTGAAGCACAGGAGCCTTCCTGCATTGCCTATGCTGATCTACTTCCTCTACGTCGGGCTTTTTGTGTTCGTCACCGTGGGAGTTTATCCCCACATCTTCGTGGACTGCAGGGGCCAGAAATGCCTCTTGTACAACCTCTCTGTCCCCGTCCAGCTCGTGAGTAAGTGTCTGAAACCACTGGGCCCTCTACAATCCTTGGGTTCGCCATATGTGCTCGTGGCTAACACTGTTAGAGCCAGAAAGCGCCCAATATCGCGTGGTGGGTGCCCAAGCAGCGACTTGACAAGCAGCTTGGCAAAATCGCAACCAGTGTTTGGCAATCATTATTTGACTTTCAGAATCGCTAATTGCTAACGTTACAACCAGAAGCTCTGACAACACGCAGTGCTATTATCTGTAGCTGCCGCTGTGGCTCCAAGTGATCTGTAGATGAGAGCATATGAACAAATTTTGAATATGTGACAAGCTTGTGGTGGCCGGATCTTGCAGCAGGGGCAGATCATTGTCAGGTTCTTACTGTCACTTCATTGTCTGATGCCAGACAGCCATCCAGAGCAGTTTGAAAGCCACTGAAGAGAATCCATCATAGGGCTGTGGAGTTGTGAAGCTGCTGTTGGGCACAACTGATGTTGAGTCCTCTACCATCGTTCAAATGTTATGCTGCTTGTGTTTTCGTAACCGTCGCAAGAATGCCATCATATGGCATTTGGGCTGTGCGCCGCATGTGCCCATCTTTACTCAGCCAAGCACCTGTGTCAGTGCTTGCCAGCTGTCTGTGCAACAGTTGCTTTCACGGCACCAAGGCAAACGAAATCTGCAGGCGGAAAATAAGCCTGCAAGCTCTGCGGTGTGCTTTAAAGCTGAATGACTTGAAGCAGGTAGCAATATTGCTGCTGTATTGATTGTGCAGCTGCAGAAAATGCTGGCTTTCGAAAAACTTGGGCTGGGCCTGTTGCGGACATTAGGAGCTGAGATCTTGCAGTTTTTGTCCAAGTTCGATGCGAAACTGATGTGGAATTCTTGCAGTTGCATTTGCCGCAATTGGGAAAGCGGGAATGCCCTGAAGTTACCCTTGAAGTTGGTGACGACTTACACACAACATACCACCAACCGCAATGTTTGGTCCCTTCCAGTCGGTTGTTTCCCACACCAAAGAATGGAAGATGCCTGCAGCAAACAATATGGAAACTGTAGAACTATACAGAACAATATACTTCAATATACAATAATGACAAATAAGAACAATATACTTACTGGTAGAAATAAAATAGTATGTGTGGAAAATTCTTGCAACAAGTGCAGATATCCACCATATGGAAAACAGCAAAAAGCACCCAGGGAGGCCTTGCCTTGTACACCTTGTGGCGACTTTCTCTGCCAGCTTTACAAGGCTGATGTGATGCTGTGCCCTTTGGCAAGCAGTTGCGACACTGTTTGCAAGCTCAACAGGTGATTGACCTGATGTTCTGTGCTGGCAGCGGGTGCCATGTTCTTTTTGTTGACGTTCCGCACGGACTTGTGCTACAGTCGGTGGTGGGAGGGCCGTGTGCACTGGAAGCTGCTGGACATTGCGACGACTAACATCGTATTAAACTCGATCATGGCCATGGGCAACAACAACCTGACAAAGGCCGTCGCCAGATGGGCGATCGCATACCCGCTCATCGTGAAAGCTCACATCCGGAAAGATGGTGACAAGGTGAAGTGGTGAACTGTGCAGACACGTCTGTGACAATACCAAGTTTACGCCTGGAATCTGCTAACAATCTGACAGAAGTCTAGCACTGATATGACACTGATAGTAATCTTCAGTTGCTGCATTTCAGACATGACGAAACACTGCCCTTTCGTGCCCATGAAGCGATGTTGGGGGCTGTCCACAGGAGCAGAAATTTCACAGCGCACTTGTTCACATGTTGCCACTTGACTTCCCCAAAGCTGTAATCATCCAGAAAATGCAACAAGGAGAGGAGTTCTTGGGAGGCCAAATTGGCATAGCAGATGGCATTCTGTCTATCAGGGTGGGGTGACAACTGGTAGAGTGGCCCCATATCCAAATTCAGTGTCCAAAATCATGAGAGCCAGTGCACCAACAGTCTTATGCTGCACTGAGGCAAACTGCAAATTGAGACAGACCACCTCCTGCACATGGAGTGTGCAACGGCTGGCAGTGCATAGCCAGCCTATTATTGGGTTTGACATTGTCACATGTCTACAACATGCTGCCGTCCATGACACCAAAATCATGTGGCAGTTGCTTTCTGTTCAGAAGTGTAGCAGTAATTGTATCACGACATGCTGGTTTTAATTTGTAACTGCATTTCTCGTTGCAGTACCAGACACCATGTGATAACAATATTCTGTGTAAACGACATAGCATCATACTTAAACGATGCCCATCTTATCTTGATGTGCTACACTATCAAATTGATCGTGTGACGCAACAAGATTGATGGTGTCAATACTGCAGTTAACTTGTTTCTGCCTGTGCCCCTAAATAGATGTGGATATGCATTTATGTATGTATGTTTTGTATCCACATTCCACCCTCTTTCAGCACTAGTTCCGAGCGACTGCTTCTGATGGGTCCCTGCCATTTGTGTTCACAGAAACTGCGTGACGGGCTTCGCAAAGTCCTGGTGGAGGGGGAGATTGTGAATGTCATGCGGTCTCGGCACCGCCCCAACCATGTGCTCACGCAGATGACCTGCATCGTGCAACAGGCTGTGGACACACAAGCCATGACCCTGATGTGGATGTCACAGCTGACCAGTGACATCTCAAACCTTCAGCTCTATTTTGCGGGCGTGGACAGAATCGCTGGGTCGCCAATGCCCTTTGCCTACACCTCGCATAGCAGGTATATATTATATACATTATAAATATATAGATTGTGCCTGCTGGACTCCATTTTCACCTTGCTTTTGTACAGTGCTGATGGGCAGGTGGCGAAGTTGGGGAAGGATGCAGTGCAATATACACATTCCCTGACATGTTGAATGCCTGTCAGTTAGGATTGGGACAAACACAGTACTTTGCAATTGCCAACAAGTTCAGCTTAAGACAGCACTGCACATGGATGAGGTCCGGAGGACAGACATCGCCATTTGGTGTAGGTCTCTGCCCAGAGTTTGTGCAGATTTGGGAACGAAGAATACGAATAATTGCTGTTGAGTATGTCGCATTTGACCTATAACCTGCATATTGGCTACATTGAGATGTGCCGCAATGTAGCCAGAGAGTGAAGACGAAACAACAGCATACAGTGATGAGAGGTGTCGTTCTGTTAAATGGTCATCCAACACCAGCAACGCCTGAGCATCATGCTGAACATCTGCTTCTTTTTGCGGCATCCTCAATTTTGCAAAAGGTCGAATTCAAATATGGCTGTAAAGTCCTCCTCATTCTTAGGAACCCTTGTGCTGTGTCTCTCGTTGGCATGTTGGCACCCGGGAGGCCCGGGACTGCCTTTGGGAGGTCCTTGCAAAATGCTGCACAATGTAATGATTGTTCGATCCATCGCGTTGCCAATCGATCTGATGCAAGAACATGGTGCCCATATGTGCAGAGCATTGATGTTCAACCTTCCTTTCTTTGTGATGAAGTTATCGAGTGATTCAGTTGAACTGCTTGATTGATTGGGGTGATTGATTGATGGATTGTTTCAGTCGACTGACCCTGCTGATTCACTGGCTGGCTGGTTCCAGGACATTCATGATGATCTGGCTGCTGGCAGTGCCCCTTTCTATTGTGCACGACCTCGAGTGGTTGACAATTCCCGTCTCAGTCCTCATTGGCTACTGCATCCTTGGTATCGAGGGCATCGCTGACGAAATTGAAAACCCCTTTGGGAAAGACATCAACGACCTGGACCTGGACGCCATCGTGCGCTCGTGCACGGTGAGCTGACTCATTGTATAAACACATGCGCTAAGTCGCGTTGAACAACTGTGTGGAACGTAGACCTCGGGACTCGCTGTTCTGAGCGTTCTGTGCAACAACAGTCTTCACTTGCATCTGCATTACTGTAGGATTGGTTTCACTTGGAGCTGAGCAAAATGTATCTTTGGCAGGTGGTATGAAGAGTGTATCATGCTGGTACTGTTTTATGACATCGTATGTGCTCTGCTGGCATCAAAATTTCGATTGCTGTATCATCAGCTGGCAAGAATACTAGAATATGTAAATCCTAGTTGTCTGTAAGCTCCCATGCATATGGGTGTAACGGAGATGCCATGGCTTAGACTCAGCATTAGAGCAAAGGCAGATGAGAAAACATGCCAAGGCAGCCAGATGGTTAAAAGAAGCAGTGCAAAGTGACAGTAAGACTAACAACAAAGCCCTCTGTCTGGGGTCCACCATGCAGCGGCAGGCTGCCTTTTACAGATGCAGGCCACACAGCTGTGAACACACGGCCATGCGCTAAACATCCCCCCGCCTGGAGAAGATGTTTGCAGGCTCTTCTCCATCGCGCAAAGTTCACGCCAAAGGCTCGGGCGCAGCGGCAAGTATGCAAGCAGCAAAAAAAGAAAAAAAAAACGTGGCCAAAATAGTCTCACCGTCAGCCTGTGTTTTCTGTCTCTGCCAGGGCGGCCTGCTGCAATGCGTGGACACTATAGAGAGCATCGAAGACGACGTTGCGCTTTGGGGGAGGCGGCTGAAGGCCAAGGCCATGGGCCACTGGGTGGGGGAGAAGGGCACTTCGTACATGGCCAAGGCCACGGCACGGGCGAGGAAGAGGAAGCTGATGCTGAGCAAACACGGGAAGAACCCAGTGTGTGCTTGAGGGCCGGGCCATCGATCTTCGCTTGGTGTGGCCACGGAAGGGTGGGCTGGCCGCCGCCTTTGTGATGCTGTGGGCCACTGAACTTGTGGTTTGTTGATCCGTGGCCATGGATCGCACCCCGATAGGTCGCAGCAGTCGTGGATGGTACTCCTTGGGGTTCGCCTGCCTTTTGAAGGGAGAAAAGCGCCGTTGTGGCTTGAAGGCACTGGCAAGTTTTTAGATATGCAACGCTTTCGTTAGCTCAACGTTTGGGGTGGATGCAAGTTGCACGTGAGAAGACACATGTGGGGGAGAGGCGGTGCACAGCAGAGAATGTCTGTCAACGGGCTCTCGCCAGGGATAGGCAACCCGTTAGAGTGCAGTGGCAAAGGTGCTGCCGACACTGCTCTTGCACCTGGAAGATGACAATGGCACGAAATCAACCATGTTTGCTCTAGAACGTTTGTTCATTTTCGTCGATCCACTTACTAGGGATGGGCGCAGCAGTGGGAGGAAAGGGCTCCCCAAGTCACGCTCAGGGGTCAGAAATGCTAGTGCGTGGCTCCGATTAGAAGCTAGATACACTGGAAAGAAACTACCTCAGGATAGCAAGCCATCGATTGGAGACCTATCGCGATCTGAAGCACGTTTATGTCAGGATTAAGATAGAAGCCGTGTTGATTTATGTGTGGGAAAAGCTGACGAATGTCCTCGGGACTTGGCGGGCTGCTGGAAGAAGAACGTGTGGGCTCCCAGCAGTCACACTCCATGGCTGCATGATTTTTTGAAGATAGTTCCGGCGCTGCTGCATGACGGAATACTTTTCTTAGTTCGCAAGTGATTTGCTGCTGTGGCCTTAGAAGGGCAGTGTTGGCTGCGCGATGGAGTTTGGTACCACGATTGCATGGGACCACAAACGAATTTCTGGTGGATCATACATGATCGGAACAGATCATATGTGAAGGATCGCGTGCACGACCGCTATTGGGCGGTTAGCGACAGGGAGCCGGCCCCATACTTGCCTGTTGTTTCCGTTGCTTGGGAAACTGCCTTGGGACCCAACCTCCTCACGGTTTCTGTTAAGGAAGCCTGGTGAGAATGGCAACGAACGCACGGGTATCCGTTGCAATAGCTCAGCGGCTTTGATGCTTTGAAAAGGACCCCAGCATTGCCCACTTCCCAGAAAAAGAGTGATTTCCTCACTTTTTCGTGGCGCCACTCCAATGAGGCGAAGACATGGCCAAGCCCTCCAATTTGATGACTGAGTCTTTTTCATTTTGGGGCCCTATTCTCTCTTCTCAGCTTGCTCTCCAGTTGTCCAAAACCCTTCACCATTTCCAGGGAATTTGATTTCCCTTTTCCATTCGCATTGGGCTTCTCCCTTCCGCCCCTCCTTCAGCTCCTGCCCCAATCTCTATTTGTTACTTTCAGCGACCTTTCAACGACCGATGCAGCTGTTCTCCGTATCTTCCAGCGCTTCGCATTCTGCGCTTTTTCGCGATTGCCTTGGCAGCGTTCTCGCGCCATCACATGCAGCGAGGTCATCCACAACTGTGTGCATTGCGTCCAGCACAGCCAAGTGACGCGACGGAATCCATCAAGCTGTGCACTCTGCGGTGAATGCAGCACGCCCCGAAAGATACAGTGCTCGAAATATAGTGCTCACAGTAATACAAGTTGGGATACTTGTTGAAGCTATCTTGCACGAAATTGCGGACTGCCGGCAAACGAGACGACGGCACGGTCCTGAAGCCATTCGAACATTCTGGGAAGTGATTGCCCCCCCACACCCCACCCCACCCCCCACACACTGTGAGTGCTGCGCGTTTCACAGCAGCAGTGGCATGTCGCGCACAATGTGCCTCACAGCCTGCACCAACTGCAATTTCAGCAGCACAAGAGAGCAGGCGTGACATGCTGACGCAGTCCCCCTTGTCCAGAACATGGGAGCCTGCATGGCGGCTCGAGCCGGCAATGAAAGAGCAAGACACTTAGCAGTGTCCTGAGCTGCAAATGCAGAGTGCAAAGTCCTGACAATGCCTGGTGAATGAGTGCTCCATCACCCCCTGGGGGATGCCATGAATTCGCAGCATCGTCAACGGGTAAAAAGCACAGTTCTGGGCCATATTTTGACAAGTGTGGCCAGTACTGAGATACGCTAAACAGTGTCCATAGCCAGATGATCGCCAGTAGAGAAGACAGGCCCGCAGATTGAACAAGCAACGCAAGAAATTTACATCCAAACCGCCCCAGGTAACCCAAGCACAACTAGCTGAGTTCTGTGCCAAAAAGTTCACGCCTCCAGTCCCAGATCGTGCATCCACCAGCTTTGCCCACCCACCAGAGGCTGACATGTTCCAGCAGTGTGCCATGCAGGACAGCCACACACTGTGGCCTGGGCACTTTCGGGCTGAGACGGTGCCCGTGGTGTTGTTCATGCATGCTGCCCAGAACACCGCTCTGGAGCCCTGTCGTGGCCCCGGCCTCCTCCGGCACTCTCTGCTCCCAGGCAACTCACCAAGCACTGCCCAGGCTGCCACACTGCCCAAACAGCCTGAGAGCAATGGAGCCAGCAACCTCAGTGGGGCCCAGCAACACACCCTGGATTGTGTTGGCTTCCTTTCCCCTCGAAGCAAAGGCCATCCACATTTTCGTCATGTTTCAATTTTGTCACTCCCTGAGGGAATGACATAGGCAAGGGCCACCTGCATCGTCGTCAGGAGGGGTTGGCATCCCAACACACCACCAGCTCTCATGTTCCTCCACACGGACCACCCAGAGCAGCCCCCCACCTCCCAGGCGTCAGGCCTTCTCAATCTGCGCCGCCCTGGCCATGATAACCTCCCTAGCCTTGGGCCCCACGCCCCTGGCAAACCTCATCAGCGAATTCACATAACTCCCCGGCGGCAGCGCCTCCAGCGACGCCGGCTGGACCACCAGCCCCCCGGCCGCGAAGGCCACCCCTTCCGCGCTGGCGCCTCCGGCCAATCCCCCCCACGGCGGCAGCAGCCCATTGGCCACCGCCCTGGGATTGTAAGACCACCGCACGTTCTCCTCCGATGTCAGAGGCCGCCTGCCGTCGCTGTCCCTCAAAATTGGCCTCGCGAACGACCTGCCGTCGGGCCCTTCCGCCCCCGCACCCGAACCCCCGCCGTGACCAGATGTCATGAACGGCACCCGAATGCCGCTGGCGACCGCGCGCTGCGCTATTCGGTCGTTCTTGGCCTGCATCCTGGACGCGCGGAGCGCGGCCTTCCGGGCATTCTTCTCCGCCTTGTCGTCCGCGGCCACCTGGGCATTGTGGGCGCGGACGACCCCGGCCGTCCTGCCCCTGAAGTTCGTCACGCCCTGCCGCGCAAGGTCCAGCAGCTTCTTGGCCACCTGCATCAGCGTCTTGGCCTGCTTGTAGTACACCGTGCTGGGGCCGTTGTACGTCAGCGCGTTCTCGAACATCACCATCAGGTCCGCCTCCAGGCGGCCCCAGCTCGTGAACCCGCCCGCCGCCAGCTTGGCCCGGATGGTGGTGAAGTCCATCGGCGTGCTGATCACGTCGAAGTAGCCCGGCGCCACGTCCTCCGTCACGGGCTCCTTGAAGATCTCGCTCTTGTCCTGCTGCTGCAGCTTGTCGATCACCCTCTCCATGTCCTCAGCCTTGGGCGGCTGCTCCCTGCCCCCGTCACCCCCGCCCCCCTCCGCCTGCTTGGCCCCCTTGGCCCCCTTCCCGCCTCCCTCCACCCCTTTCCCCCTGTCCCTCTCCCCCTTCCCCCCCTTGCCCTTCTTGGCAGCCCGAGTAATCCGCTCCACAGCCTCCACTCCACCGCTGCCGCCGGCCCCATTAACCCCACCCTCCACAGGACCCCCCCTCCCCCCCTGCTCCATTTTTCCGCCTTTGAATCCACCGCCAGCAACATTCTTGGCCCCCCCACCCTTCCCATCCCCCTCCTCCCCCTGCCTGGACTCCGACCAGCCAGATTTTTCCGCTCTTTCCGTTCTGTCCGCTTTTTCCGTGGATCCGCGCCGTTCGATCCTCCCTCGACTGTCCGCAGCCGGCAAGGCGCTCAGCGCGGGCTCATCGCGATCGGCCCTAGCTCCCGTTCGTGGCTTCTTGGGCGGGCCGGCGTGGCTGCCGCCGGGCCCGCCAGGGCCGAGATGGCCCGCAACGCCGCAGTCGCCCGCCTTGCGCTTGCGCCTGGCGCTGTCCCCGCCTGCCTCCGGCCGGGAGGTCGGCTTGGGCAGGCCGCCCAAGCGCAGTTTGACTTTAAAGGAGCCACTCATGAGGTGGGGTCAATCGCGGGGGGGGGGAACACGTGATGAGTGGGCAGGCCAGGGGTCGCCCCAAAAATTTGGCCGGGCGGCTGGGGGCCAAGAAGCGCGTGCTGTGCCGTACGGGGCACCGGGTCGCAAGCGGATTGAGTAGAGACAATTCCGGATGATGATGATGATGATTGTGAGGGCGAGGGAGTGGTTAATATATAATATGTGATATATGGTGTTTTCTATGGTGGCAAGTAAAGGTGTTGACTATGGTGTTATGGTGAATGCACATGGAGACAATGGAGATGGGAGCCGAACATTATTACGGTGACTGTTATTTAGCTGGTACAATCATCTTGTAATGTATCTGGTTGCGGCCTCGCTTCTCGTGCCTGGGAGCGACCGTGCGTGAGCAAGCAGGAACTCTCGGTTATCCTGTCATGGTTTCGGAGCCGGGAACGGACCCTAGAGGTCCAGGTGTCCGATGGCGACGCGGGAAGCGTCGCCATCCTGTTTGTCGACCTCCGAGCATCGCTATTGTTTTGGCGGTGCTCGGAGTGGTGGTGCTGTGGGAGGCCATGGTGGACTTGAGGTGTAGGATGGAGGCCACGGCGTTGGATAGGCGTGACTCGGTTCAGGCGGCTGTGGTTGGGTGGCGGAATGGGGAGTGGAGATTGAGGGGATTGGCACCCCAGCGACCCGGACATCCGATGGTATGGATGCCGGGCCATGCGTCGAACCCAACCACCCTTGGGATGGGAGCCGCG